AGACACCTGTTTGTATCAATAGTTGACTCTCTCTATGATAGATTATATATAGACTGGTATATACAAACAGGTGCTTGTGGTAATATAGGGGTATATGTTATATTACAACAGACACCTGTTTGTATCAATAGTTGACTCTCTCTATGATAGATTATATATAGACTGGTATATACAAACAGGTGTCTGTGGTAATATAGGGATATATGTTATATTACAACAGACACCTGTTTGTATCAATAGTCAACTCTCTCTATGATAGTATGCTATATATAGACTGATATATACAAACAGGTGCTTGTGGTAATATAGGGGTATATGTTATATTACAACAGACACCTGTTTGTATCAATAGTCAACTCTCTCTATGATAGTATGCTATATATAGACTGATATATACAAACAGGTGCTTGTGGTAATATAGGGATATATGTTATATTACAACAGACACCTGTTTGTATCAATAGTTGACTCTCTCTATATATAGACTGGTATATACAAACAGGTGTCTGTGGTAATATAGGGATATATGTTATATTACAACAGACACCTGTTTGTATCAATAGTCAACTCTCTCTATGATAGTATGCTATATATAGACTGATATATACAAACAGGTGTCTGTGGTAATATAGGGATATATGTTATATTACAACAGACACCTGTTTGTATCAATAGTCAACTCTCTCTATGATAGTATGCTATATATAGACTGATATATACAAACAGGTGCTTGTGGTAATATAGGGGTATATGTTATATTACAACAGACACCTGTTTGTATCAATAGTCAACTCTCTCTATGATAGTATGCTATATATAGACTGATATATACAAACAGGTGTCTGTGGTAATATAGGGATATATGTTATATGACAATCATGTCAGTAAGTTCAAGTATTATCTTTGTGAGTTTTTATATCAAGTTATATTCTGCATTAAGTTAAAATACAATACAATACTCTATTATATACCCTGTATATCATACTCTATGCATTAAATGTTGGTTGTGATTTATTTTTAACCTTATCAAAACTTACTAGTTTTGACCAGCTTTGCTTTGTCTCTATATCGGACCTTGTGCTTTTGTAAGTTATTAGGTATTAGAGAGTCCACATGGCTAATATTTAATAGATTTAGTATTTGTATTTGTCAACTCAGCATACCACATAGTGTTGTTTGGTAGACGCATTTCTGGTTGTCACAAGTGAAGAGTCAAAAAGTCTGAATTATTTTTTAGAATTTAATTCAGTGATATAAAATGCATGTTTTTATATAAAATTATATCAATTGTCTCTGCTTCTATAAATATATTTCAAGTTTGCAATAAAATGATTGATCTGTATTCAAGATTATCTCATGATTTTACAATTTACATCTATTCTCGTGTATTATAAATCTTGTTTTAATCCCTGCACTGTGTTAATTCTGTGTACTCATTACAGAATGTCATAGCGTCTTTATCACGGCATGTCATAGGTCACTATGATTCCATTATGACAAGTAATCAGGTCACAATAATGTATTATCGTCATGACGACGTTACAGATTCGGATACGTCATTATGACAACGTTACAGAGACGTCATCATGACGTTAAGAGATGTGATGTCACGTTGCTGACGTCGAGACGATGAAAAAACCAATTAATGCCAACAGAAGAAGACCACTAAAATTATGGGTTTATAATGGTGTAATGAGCACAAGCCACAGAATTACGTGATGGTTCATCACAGACGAATTGAGTACAGCCTCTGACAGACACGTTCAATCACTCACCAGTAAAAATAGTTGACTATATTAAGATATAATTTTTTGGGACATTTCCTCCCAATTCATTACAATAAATTGACAACAGATCGATCCATCATGACGTCATAACCACAGAAAGAAAACTAAGTCTTTGTTATAAATTTAATACATTACAATCATCCGTGGGCGCTGGCGTTCCATTTGAATTTGCATACTTATTCTGCGTCATTTTTTCGCCAAGTGTTTTGTGTAAGGACGTACGGTTAAGCAATTGGGGGATTATACACTTTTTTTCAGGAAGCAAATCATATACTTTCTTTTTTGAGGGATTTTACTTAAACGATTTCGATGATGTTCGCTCAGTGCATCGCGCTGTTTCTGTGTTCGGTTGGACTACCAGTCACAGCCGTTAAAAATGTTGGAACGGTACAAAACCCGGCAAATCTGCAAAATTATATCGTGGATCTGGCAACCGGTAATTTGTTGCCAGTGCAGACCTCCCAGCCTCAAGGACCAAACCCTGTGAACAATTTGGGGACTACCGGTACTACCACAAACGGTCAGTCCAATTACGTTGTGCTCAATCATGCGTATTTGGGAAAGGACCCGTTAAGGAGCAATATTTTTCCGCAACAAGCACTAGATAACTCTATACTTTCAACCACCAACCAACTACTACCAGCCACAAACCAACCACCAGCGCCTGTCCAGAATACCGTGCCTCAGGTACAATCAACATCGAAACCGCTAGCGACACAGATAGCAAATTCCAACCGAGAACCACCGAAACAATCTGGTGGTATGACTTTTACTGTCGCCACAGGCCCAGGGACAAATTCTAACTTTAAAACATTTGGATCGCCTCCTTTGATCATTTTCGCACCCCAGAACCCAACTCCATCCATAGTCACTTCTACAGCTGTTAATACAGGCAACACTGGAGCAAACACGCCAACAGGCACACCAGCTCCGATTCCAGGCACCAACACCGTGGCTAACCCATCAACGGCCCCGAATCCAGTGCCTACAACTGGTGGAAACAATATATTCACTACTGATCCTGTACCACCCTCTACAAATCCTGTCGATCCTACACCACCCTCTACAAATCCTGTCGATCCTACACCACCCTCTACAAATCCTGTCGATCCTACACCACCCTCTACAAATCCTGTCGAACCCACACCTACCAGCACCCACAACCCTTTCGTACCTAACGTGCCCGTCACAGACCCAACATTTCAATCAACCGGGCTACCAGTAATTTTAAGCACTATAGCAGATCCAATGAAATCAGCGACAGGCATACCGGGATTGGCACCCCCGGGTCTGACGGGCGAGCAACTGTCTCAACTACTAACATCTACCAAAAATCCTCCTACAATTTTTGAGCTTCAGACAGGTATGCCATTGAACGGAGGTGTTCTCAATCAGCCAACAGGTACCACAACCAGTACCGGAGCCGTGGTAGTGGATCCGTCAGTCATTAATACTCCTCAACCAGAACCGGAACCGGAACCTCAAACAACCACACCCACAGGCGTTCAACCAGATCCGTCGGCCTCATCAACTACTGCTACCAACCAGAACCAACCAAATCGAAACCCATTTTTACCACCATTCGTGCCACCTTTCTTGGGAAATCTGGCACCAATCGATCCATCCATTTTATCTCCGTTGCAACCGAATGCTGTTGGATCTGGATCAGTTACGTCAACGAGTACACCCGGAACTAACGGAGGATCCCCTTCGACCAACCCTGGATCGGCAACAAACGCAGGTGCAACTACTACGGGACCAATAACATCGACCATCTTTGATCTGATAGCCACGGCCAATGAACTAGGAACACCATCTTCTAATATACCATCAGCAACTACACAAGCAACAAGTGGAACGCAAGCATCTGGCGTAACAACAACAAACTCTGGAACGCAACCGTCTGGCATAACAACAACAAACCCTGGAACGCAACCGTCTGGCGTAACAACAACAAACCCTGGAACGCAACCGTCTGGCGTAACAACAACAAACCCTGGATCGCAACCATCTGGCGTAACAACAAACCCTGGAACGCAACCGTCTGGCGTAACAACAACAAACCTTGGAACACAAACGTCTGGCGTAACAACAACAAACCTTGGAACGCAAACGTCTGGCGTAACAACAACAAACCCTGGAACGCAACCGTCTGGCGTAACAACAACAAACCTTGGAACACAAACGTCCGGCGTAACAACAACAAACCCTGGAACGCAACCGTCTGGCGTAACAACAACAAACCCTGGAACGCAACCGACTGGCGTAACAACAACAAACCTTGGAACGCAAACGTCTGGTGTAACAACAACAATTATAGGAGGAACCAGCGTTCCAACCACAACAAATACCGGAGGAACTTCAACAATGCCAGTACCCAACCTACCGACACCCGGAGGAACTAATATAACACCAATAGCTAACCAATCACCCCCCAACGGCTCCGTTGCTACTGTTAACGCATCAACGACGCCACCACCTGTCAATCCAATAGATACGATCTTAACCATGGTCGCAAACAAACCACGCGCACCACAACTCCAATCTTCAATCGACAGACAAATCGGATTATTTACCAAGTACCTGAATCAACAGACAGCATATTACCAAAAATCCATCGATAAAATGACAGCGCTTTTGGATCAAGTGACACAACGTAAAGAATCATCGACTGCAGCTCTCGGCAACATCCGGGGACTATTATCGGGCATGATAACCAGACCAACACAGAGGATCAGTTTGGATAATCTCTTACGAGCAGCTACAACGATCCAGAACCTCAAAGATCAAGTTGCCACGGCTCAATCGCAGAAATCAATATCCAAGGTCCGTTCCTTGATCATTGAAGCCGCTAGGGTGGCCAACGTCAAAATTTAAAACTACAAAAACTGTCACAGCTTCCAGAGTCATGTACCAAATCGTGGAAAGTTTAATTTTGCTGTGTGCTTAACTATCATTTGGATGCAAAAAGAATAAATTTTGTACATCTAATGAAAAACATTGGCATGTTGGATTCTACGGGAAGAATTTTTAGTTGGCAAGCCAGTTCGGAAGTAATTAAAGTGTTTTGAGTGTGAGCAGACCCTGCCTCACAACAGATATAGTATTTATTGGTGGAGATTAGGGATCAGATGTGCCTTTTCGTCACTGACATTGGTTTACACACAGGGCTTTTTATTGATAATGTATAGTATAGTCGTATAGTCGTATTTTGTAAATGTAACGTTTTGGTACGAGTTACATATTTAAAATGTTTTATTTTTGTTATGTGCTATTTAATAACAATGTGAGGATACAAATATTGTGCCCATATCATTTAACCCCATGAATAAATTAATCCCGTAAAAGGGACGAAGACAGGGAGAAGCACTTTGTCCATGTCTTTTCTAGAAAAACATAATCGAAAACATCTTGAGACATGCCCTTAGTCATTGACCATAGCTCTATACTTCAGTGGGTGAAATCCGCATAGGAATAAGAGCCAGGTTATTTCTTCTCTTTTTTTTTTGGGTTGGGGCGTGGATTGGTTGGTGGTGGTATGCGCCTACTATGCCTCAAACTTTCCATTGTTGAGTCCGAATGTTGTGGATGCTGCACAGGCCATTGATCGGACTGTACGTGCGTGTACCTTCTTTTTTATCCTCACGATCAATCAGTTAACAATTACATTCATCCAACACACCCACGATAAATCAAATATAAAAACTATCGAACAATAAAATATGGCTCATCAATCAATTTGAATACATGAAGCTGTAAACTGACAATAAAACTTAAAATAAAACATATAATATGATATACTAGTACAGTTATTATGATAACCACCTATATAGGTCAATAAGTAACACCGGCGTAGATCCGAAATTACTCTAAGGTACGGGCATTTGAGCGGATGAGAGGGAGGAGGGGGGCAAATAAATGAGAGTGCCTTGAATTATGTTGGGGCAAAGGTTGCGAGACTTAGCATGATTGTGACAATGACTGCAATCATGGTAAGGATGGGTGAAACATCAGCACCCAAAGAGGCTTTTAGGCCCGAGAGCCAATTGTTAGCGAGGAATGTGGAGACGGGAGTCTCTTGTTACAGCATCACTGACACTATACCGAAATATCTGTCTCTCTATCCCTGATAGCTATTTGGATTTGCTTGACATGTTTTGGATCTGACCATCCGGATGTATGGGTACATGAAAGATAAAATCATTTAAAACAATAAAACGGCACCCTGCGAATGTTTAGATAAAAAATAGATCAATGATAAATCATAAGTTTATTCCGACCCAATTCATAACTTGGCCGATTTTTATGGCCAAAATGTGACCAGGAAAATTAACAACCGTGTACGCCATGTAACCAAGTTAGTCCAATACCTTAAATTTCTACCTATTTAAGACAATTGGAATTTTTTTTCAAATCATTGGAAATTAAGGAGTCTTAGTAAAAGGATCAAAATTGGCACAGGTCAGTACAGGAATTTTTTTCGGATCATTGTAAGAAGATTCACCCAGAATGGTACCAAGGTTGATTGTTTTCGGGTTAGTCCTGATTCTGTTATGTTCATGGGCAAACTCTGGAAGAATTAGAGTTGGAAGGACGGCCTTTCCTGTTACATCTGCTACAACGTCTCCTACAACGTCTGCTACAACGTCTGCTACAACCTCTGCTACAACTTCAGCGACTACATCTGCCACAACGTCTGCTACAACATCAGCGACTACGTCACCTACAACCTCTGCTACAACTTCAGCAACTACGTCTTCTACAACGTCTCCGACTACATCGCCTACAACTTCAGCGACTACATCTCCAACAACCTCTGCTACACCATCTCCAACAACCTCTCCTACAACATCAGCCACAACGTCTCCAACAACTTCAGCTACAACATCAGCGACAACGTCACCTACAACCTCTGCTACAACGTCTCCGACTACATCGCCTACAACTTCAGCGACTACATCTCCAACAACCTCTGCTACAACGTCTCCAACAACCTCTCCTACAACATCAGCCACAACGTCTCCAACAACCTCTCCGACTACATCGTCAACAACGTCTCCTACAACCTCTACTACAACATCAGCCACAACGTCTCCAACAACATCAGCCACAACGTCTCCAACAACCTCTCCAATAACGACAGCGACTACATCTCCAACCACGTCAGCAACTACATCTCCAACAACGTCTCCAACCACGTCAGCGACTATATCTCCAACAACGTCTGCAACAACCTCTCCGACTACATCCCCAACAACCTCACCGACTACGTCTGCTACAACCTCTCCGACTACATCTCCTACAACGTCTCCAACTACACCTGCTACAACAACTATCTCAGCCCTGGAACAAAGAATTCAGGCAGAAATCGCAAGACTAACTCCGATATTTCAAATCCGATCTCAGTCGTTCTGGATTGCCATTGATCAGCAGCAACAAGTGTTGGGGTCAATTCAACAAGAGAGTGCACTCAACGACGCTGCCTCTACACGTTTACCAGATATCGTCCGAAGTTTGATCACCCATCCTGAACAACCGGAGCTACTTGTCAGTGACATTTTAACTGTTGCAGCACAACTGAAACAAAATCCAATGAAGCGTAAACGACGCAATGCATTACTCAGTGAGACGCGAGAGTCATCTTATGAAAGCCGCGATCGTCGCAGCGAATCGTTAGATCTAGATATAAGCAGTGTATCTACGGGATCGCAAGATCTGGATATAAGCAGTTTGGCAACGGAGTCGCAAGATCTGGATATAAGCAGTGTGGCAACGGAGTCGCAAGATAGAGATAGACGTAGCGCATCAACCGAAGAGTCGCAAGATAGAGATAGACGCAGCGCATCATCCGAAGAGTCGCAAGATAGAGATAGACGCAGCGCCTCGTCATCTTCATCTTCATCTTCGTCATCATCAGAAGAATCCATCGAGATACCAGTCATACCTGTGACCACTCCGGAACCAACAGTTCCTATGACTCTAAATGAAAGGATCGCCTCCGAAACCACCAGACTTAGGAGTCTGTTACAAACCTACCAAACCTTTCTGAACTCTCAGGTTGCAAGTAGCACTGGATTGTTGAAGGAATTTTACCAAGATGAAGCCTTTCTCAACGAAGCTGCCTTGTTGAATTTGGATCTACTGGTAGAGCAGCTGGTCACAGACCCCTCCAAGACTGTTACATACAGAGAACTGATTGATAAAATCGAAGAACTTATTCTAGAAACAGCTGGCTTGCCCGCTCGTAAAAGACGAAGTGCTTTATTCAAATCTGAACTCGGGCTGGGAGAAGAGTTGAACATTAGTGATAGACGCAGCGCATCATCCGAAGAGTCGCAAGATAGAGATAGACGCAGCGCATCATCAGAAGAGTCGCAAGATAGAGATAGACGCAGTGCATCATCCGAAGAGTCGCAAGATAGAGATAGACGCAGTGCTTCATCATCTTCATCTTCATCTTCGTCATCATCAGAAGAATCCATCGAGATACCAGTCATACCTGTGACCACTCCGGAACCAACAGTTCCAATGACACTAGATGAAAGAATCGCCTCCGAAACCACCAGACTAAGAAGTCTGTTACAAACCTACCAAACCTTTCTGAACTCTCAGGTTGCAAGTAGCACTGGATTGTTGAAGGAATTTTACCAAGATGAAGCCTTTCTCAACGAAGCTGCCTTGTTGAATTTGGATATACTGGTAGAGCAGCTGGTCACAGACCCCTCCAAGACTGTTACATACAGAGAACTGATTGATAAAATCGAAGAACTTATTCTAGAAACAGCTGGTTTACCTGCTCGAAAAAGACGAAGTGTCGTATTCAAATCTCTGTTGAACATTCGGTGAACAATTTATTTGTTATTTAAGTTTTGGATGGACGTTTAACTTTGAACTCAGGCATGGGATTGGTGCAATTGGATTAAGATGCGGATTGTTTCGTTTCTTTTTTTTGATTTTTTCGGATGGAAACGAAACAGATTTGCATTTTTGACACATTGGGAAACACTGTTTTAACCAAAGAGGTAGAATATTCTGATACACCACTCAGGTTTTAACAAAGTCTAAATCGAAGAAAAGGTGAACGACAACCTCTACATACTTAAGATGGACATCATGCCATCATGCTTACCCATGCCTGTCTTTCCGTTTCACGCCCATTCAAATCTTGTTTGTTATTTAAAATAAAACTCTATTTTGAAAAACAGTCGTGATTAAGACTTACTACAAATATCACTTTTGAAAAATTCTCAATTGAATTCCCACTGTCCCTCTCTGGCTAGCAAAAGGGCTGGATGCCCCCCGCTATATTAAGATTTTATTGGCGGACAGTAGCTGATAAACCCCTCAGAATTCAAGATGAAAGTCAGAGTATTTCAGAGTTATTCTCCAGCTTAAGGTTTGACTGTAAAGAGGCCACTACGTAATGTAATGAGGTCTGAAGGGGAGGGGGGTTGGGGTAGGTTGGTGGCCAGCAAATTGTAACAGATGACAATAAGCTCTGTTTTTGACCATTGTCATTTCGATTCATCAAATCAAGCTGCAAATGAGAAAATTGTCAGTGTTATGGAAGACAAAAACAAATGGTTTATTATAAAGAAAAAATAAAAATATTGACAAAATAATTATAAATATTATAATCAATAGCAAAAATAAGGATTTCACGAAAAAAATCAAAAATATTATCTTTGATAAAAGATACATAATCAAAAATCAAAATCAAAATAAAAAATATATTCACAAATATATCACATTACGATGAATGTTGAAGGTTCCAAGAGTTGTACCAGATCATGCAGGTTCACTCTAAAAGAATCTTAAATTCTCCTACATCTTGCGAAGTTCCCACGAGTTATATAAAATTGTACCAGATCATGCAGGTTCACTCTAAAAGAATCTTAAATTCTCCTACATCTTGCGAAGGTCCCACGAGTTATATAAAGTTGTAGCAGATCATCCAGTTACACTCTAAATGAATCTTAAATTTTCCTACATCTTGTAGTTAAGTCATAGTTACTAAATCAATTCAATATTATGCTTGAGATGGTATTAGTTTTTAAAAACCAGCCAGAGTTAACATGATGGACAGTCCTACGAGGTAAAATTTGCACTGGAAAAGTAGGACAACCATAAAAAGTTCTATTAATCCACAATTGAAAATAGAGTTTATATCCACATTTATACAGACGGATTCACAGTCACACGTTAAAACTTGGAAGTGTGCAAGGATTCATGCATATCCCAAATTCACGAACTTTAGACGTCCAATTTTTCAACCTCTTCTAAAGCTTCTTGGATCTCTTGTTCAAGTTCCTTTAAATCTTCCATGTCCCCGACCAGGTCGTCATCTTCCTCCGCGCTTTCAGCCTGTCGTCGCTTTCTGACTGACATAGGAGATACGTCAGGTTGGCTTGGTGTCGTGATGGTAAGTCGAAATCGTAAAGCTCTGAATACTTGCGACAAGCGAAGTCTGCGCTGAAACGGACTGGTGACCAAACCTCTTACGAGAAGCGGGAGATTGTTCAATGCACTGGTGTTTTCGTCAATAAGGCGACTGTACAATGGTCTAAATCTACTCAGTCGAGACAAAGATCTTTGTATCCTTTGGATTCGTCTTTGGAAGAATCTTCCGATTCTGGAAACGACAGAATTGATTCTTGAAACCAAAAATGATGGAAGAGTTGTTCCCTGTGTCGTCATTTCCGTTGTGGTTTCCGTAGCTGTCGACGTAACTTCCTGTTCCGGTGCAGCGGTTGTTACCATTTCAGTTGTGGTATCTACTTCTTGTGTAGTTACTTCTGGTATTTGGGTTGTCGTTGTCGAGTCGGTAGTGCCCTCTACGATCACAATAGAAGATGTAACTTCAAAAATGGCACGTCGTCGGCGATCTTCGACTTCTGCGCTCTCCTCGTTGCTCGCTTTGGTAGCTGCGTTTTGAACGCTCCTCATTATACTGGCGACGGTTCGGGAGCTTAGACGTTGGGTGGGATTGTTGATCATAATATTTTTAATCAACTCAGGCAACTGAGCGAGGACAGCGTTGTTGAAATCCAGTTCCCTCTGTAATGATGTGATACTTCTATCTAACCGTCCAGAACCGACCTGTAAACCACGAATTCTCCTTTCCAGTCGTCGGGTCAATCTGGAAATTTCAAAATCTATACGGCTCTGTAGTAATGGATTGATCGTGGTCGTAGACGGTGACGAAGTCGTTGATATTTCTGCAATCGGTGCTATGATTGTAGTCATAGCGTGACTTGCGGCTACGACTGTGGCGGCGATACAAGCTAGCGTTAAACCTTTCATCTTGTCGTCGATGTATCTTGTTTCTTCAAAACCCAGTAACAATGTTCCTATCTTGTATTCAGCTCTTGTCGAGTTTCTGTATAATACTCTTGGAGAGGTATCTCAATTCTGAATGAAGTTATCAAATCGCTCGGGTATATATACTATTTCAAAAAGACATGTATCATTTCGTGACGCACGACGCCCCATTGTTTACCAATTTTTGATCACGGATCTGACCGACTCGCCCCGGATGATGAACGGATTTGAATTAGCGAAATGATCAGGTACTGGAAAATTCTTATCTATCGGTAAACAACGTAGAAGCGATAAAAACTTCAAAACATTGCCTGCGGCGAATTCGGTTAAATATTTTATGTAATGTTTGAGATGACAATGTCGCATGTGCGGTTGTGGATAATAGAATCAAATCAAGAATTAAAATTACTCATTAAAATTATTAGCCGTGTGAACTCTCATAAAGCTGCTGAGTCGGCCTATATAATATTCTATGGGTGGTATTGAGGCGTGTACGGTCAAGGGATGAACGTTTCGAAACGTGATTGATCGAAATGGTATATACTATAATATGATATGGTTTAAGTTGCTTCATTATGATGGTATCGCGATAGAATCTGACCGAAAGAGATTTTTCATTACCTTCTGAAGCCAGAAATGGGTCAATTGAATCATGGTTGTTTTCCTTCACAGAGCTACCATTTTTTCTTAACTTCCCATGGTTTCCATACCTGAAAAATGAATTGAAATTGGAATTAGTTTATTGGATGGGCGAATGCAGTCAGCGATACAAACATCACATAAACAATTCTTTGGTTGCTTTTCACTAGGGTACTAGTGTCTGCTAATTGTGATCAAAAAAATTGTAAGCTAACGCCAACAGCCTGGAAAAATTTACAAGGCGTTGCCCCTATTCATTAGCCTACTCAGGTGAAGAAAAGTAGGACGTAAAAGTCCATCATGTCTTGAGAATTATACAAAAACACCAGTACCACTCCGGTATTAAAAAGAGCCAGGTATATTATCTCTTTACGTCATACAGGTGTTCTCTTTCAGAATTTAAAAATCGTAATTTTCTAGAAAAAAAGGATGAATTTCAGTGAAAAGGGTTCGGATTGTGACTGTCTCTTTTAATCTCAAAAGAATTCCGTCATCAATTTACAGTTTTATTATTTTTTACCCCGAGGCGGGCAGTATCCAAGGTCACCGTTAACAAAATACTACGATGTTTGTTAGCGAGGGGTATATCATCTTCATCTTCACTACGTTTAGGTATTATGAACTTCGTCTAATATTAAACGAATTTCGCAATACCTAGACGTTGTGAAGATGGGGGTTATACATGTCTAGGATAATAAATGTCTAGATTGGATACTCTCAAAATGAAGCTGACAACAGCATAGTAGACTCAGAAGCCCAATAGTTTTATATTTTCAAATACTTGGTGACACTGGCTAATATTCAGGTTTGCAACGAGGCCCTGCAAAGATGTCCAGACGTAAGGCTAGAAATGCCAAGTTATTATGACTGGTTTGTCGAATAACCAACAAGTTTAGTGTTAAAGGCATGTAAGTTCTGAGAGATGAATTAATTCTCTGAGAGAGGGATATTAAGCGGGGTGGGAAAGAGAGATCAGGATTAAGAAATACAGCAAAAATAGTTTAAGGAGTGTTTTTTTTGTTCTCCATACACCGAAATTATTATCATTAAAATCAATCGGGTGAATATAAAATGTCAATTAACAGCAGGCCTGTTTCATTCATGCATGATTCGTTCCAGATGATAGTAAGACACGACTGACCGACTTTCAATATCCGGGACTGTTCGATTCAAATATTTAATTAAACAATCAGTTGTAATTTTACAATGACCCCCCTCTTCGTCGGGCGAAACCTGAAACCAGTTCGCTCGTTTTTACGCAAGAGGCGAACGGGCCGAGGCGATCCCCCCTTCATACTTCATGAATTTTCCCTTCGGGCCTCGTCCTGGAGAGTCTACTCTCATCTTTTGTCCCATCCCTCCCCGAAACCCCCGCAGGAATTGTCTAAATAAGCCCCATTTTGACGATATACTGGCGAGAAGTGCTAGGGCCAATTCCTTTATTTTACATGTAATTTTATTGCGCTTATTGTAAGACAAAGACATACAAAATTTACAGAATTTACAATCACAGTTAGGGAGTTTCAAAATCTCAAACCGGTGGATACTTGGACGAATTATTGGTGAGATTACGAACTAGGTAAACATGATACAACATTTATATATAAATCTGATAAAGTCAATGTTAGATACGACCACAACGACAGCTGAAGATGTCCTACCTCGGACATCGGTAAAAATAATATTGAAATACGTTCTACCTACAATTTGTTTACATATCGTCTATTAAACCGGAATCCAGGCCCGTAGCCAGACTTGATTGTTCAGAGGGGCAAGTAATATATCTAAAGGGGCAATGGTGTATGGTAGCAGTAATAGAATTAGTCGGTTGTAAGAATTTTCCCCTTGCCCCCCCCTGTAGCTACAGAACTCTGGGCATCCATTTTGCAGAGTCCACTGTTTGGTATTTTATTAGTGAAAAAAAAGCTGCATATGACCTACTCTACGTGTCGCAAAAAAACTATTTAAATCTGTTTTAAGTTGAGGCGTTGTGTCATTCAAAATTTTCAAAAGAGGAGGATTCGGTAGCGATATAACCGCCGGGGCTGAGGATGCTCTTGGTGCTTGTGAAGTGACTGTTGTCTGCGTAGCTCGTTCCTTGGTTATCCTCTTCGTCAAATGGATGACCAGGGACGCATCGGTTGGCTTTACCGATGCATGTGGACTGAAGAGCTGACGGGTAGTTGACGGGCGTAATGAAATCGACGGGAGGAGGAATTTGTAAAGATGGTGGAGTTGTGAAGCTGATTGGGGTTATGAGATCGACTGAAGGCGGGTCCTCTAACGCTGTGTAGTTGAGCGGTTCCAGATAATTTGCAGAAGGCGTCACTAAAGAAACCTTCGGCAGGGTTGACGCCGGTTGTACTGGGTCTACCTTCTGCCTTGCCACTGGATACTCCTTTTTCCCCATAATAGTCGGAATGGCGTTGTGGTTCTTTAACGTGCAGACGATGGTGGTTGCTAAGGAAAGCAGGATCAAACCACCAATTATTCCACCAACAATGGTCACTCCGTCACTGGCTATAAAAATTGGAAACAAAATGGCTTGTTAGAGTCTGAAATTATACCGATAGCAGGCGCTGATCGACTGGCGATTCCAGACGTCTAACCTGGTGTATCGCAGTGGACGTAAGCAAACGCTTGCGTCGAGAAATTAAACCGCTACTAGCAACTGCTTCTGGAAGGAAACTCAACAGAGCTTTCGGGAAGCAGTCGCAGAGTTTTATGATGCTAGATTACGGCGGATGTGTCTGTGTACCTTGTATATGCACAGCTTCTATGTTGTATTGTATAGATACAGGTACAGGTACCTTAGGCCCAAGCAAACCGGAAGTAGAATGTCCACTTACAAGATTGTGTCTTGGAAAACATGTAGTATTTGGCCATGAAGCCACCGGCAGAGTTGTTGGTCTTGATGTGCAGCAACATGTATCGACCAGTGCTTTCGTAAGCTGGTTGAGCATCTTCGCAAGATATTCCCAGTCGTTTGGTGTTGAATGACGAACCTGAATTTGAAGATATAGATCAGGGGATTAAATAGGACGATGACTCCGCTGGTGATAAAGATTGTCCTACGATTCATTCTTGAACAGTCTATAGACTTAATTGAGTGCAGCTCCACTGAAATAAGTACTGCGGTGGGTGTCACTTTCAAGGACATGTTTGGGCTTCCAGAACACCCGACATGGTTTATAAACTCAGCATCCCTTATCTTTTGATGGTTCCAAGGACGCTACTTGGTTGGACTGCTGCTTTCAGTCCAATCAGTGACATGATGTTAACCATCATTTCCAAATTAGCTGTCCTGGTAAAGAAACTATATCCGAAACGCGTATCTACAGCATGAAGTGAGCTCATGTAAGATGTAACTTACCATCATAGATTGAGATTCCGCTTAAAGAACAATCCTCCCTGATGTTCACGTCTTCAAAGTCTATTCGGACTACTTGATCCGGACTACTAGCTATGATTAACCATGTACAGTTCTCTAGCCTGAAAGGAAAATAAACCATACTTCAGGAACTTTGAAAAAGACAAAGTGCACATGAAATGAAACGGAGCTTTATGACCTACTTTGTGGCTTTAGATTGGACAACAGAAGACAGGTAAAGCGGTGTGTAACTTAGCTAATCAATTATAAATTAAAACAAAGCGGGAAACTTCAACACTTCTTTCTACAGCAGCTGCATTTCTAGGAAATTTCCCATTCTTGGACGCCGACAGCAAACCGACTATCTGCTAGGTAGCGAGTGTCCATCCTAGCGAGACAAAGCGACTCCGAAATTCATATACAATGTAGTAGTACTAAGTACAAGATACATACCCTTTAGAGGAAACATAATTGGCTATTTTTGCTGCAGCCAAACGAACATGAGATTTGCAGCCGTAACATCCTAAAACAAAACAATTAAATTAAAATATTTCGACAAGAACGCGATTTAAGGAAGAATCGTGTCAGATCATGGGTGGCAAGTGTAATAACCTGTATGTAAACACGAAACGAAGCTGCCAAATCTTCTTTTTCACGCAGTTAAGTTCAATATGAAGTTTCTGGGAGAACGATATATCAAAGCCATGTCAAACCGACAGGTAAATCCTATGATTTATATGAACTATTCTAGTTTTTTAAAGCTGGGAATATGCTCGATTGTTTCTAGAAATTGCTGCTATTTTGAACAGGTTATCACATTATTAATGATTAAACTCGGCACCTGTATCATGTTTTGGAGAGACTCTCAAACGATATTTGAAAAGTATGCCACGATTTCTTTCTTTGAGAAATTAAAAGCCATTTTAATAAAATGTAATGGAGTTTTGTGTTCTACTGGTAAAGAATATTAATATTTACCTGTAGCTGCCAAGTTGAAAAAGAGAATAAATCCAATGAGATGGTTCATGTTGCTGGTAACATGCTGTCTAACGCGTCAACACTACGGACTGGTATTCATCTCGCCGATATCGTCATCCAGGTAGTGGCGTTTCCTCCCTACCAATGACGTTCTGATGGTTGTATTTTTAGACCAAGTTGTCATTAATTAAGTCTATTTTGATTGTAATTAATCATACCTCGTTAACTGAGACCCATAACAAGGGTAATTCTACTCTAATTGGCCTTGTTAGGCATCATCGATTTTTTGTGGTATCGGAGGGTTAGAGACAATAAACTAATATAACAGTGTATTAGGCTAAGAATGTATCGTGTATCTTCAACATTTTGGGTTTCTCGTACACCTTAGCTTTTACGTCTTCTCTCGGTATCCCCGCTTCAATATAACCAAGAGCAAGGTGCTTCAATAGTACCAAAGTAGATCTAGAATAAGGTTAGGTGACGCCCTGAGCAGTGGCGGAGCCGGGTTGACGTCCGAGTGGGGGTCGAAATATCCGAGATTACCCTAATCTCTAGTCTAGTTATGAGAATCATGCCCGAAGACTTGCATTCTGGGCTGCCACTGTACAACTTCATCCCCCACCCTCTTTCTGGAATATATTCAAGACTTATATGGCATTTGGTATTGCTGTACGTCGGATATCGTGCGATCGCCATTTACAACCAAATAAAAAAGACATCAACATAAGTAACAAAATTCTTTATATTTAACAAGTAATAGTACAACATTTTGAACAAAATCGATTCAATAGCAAAAAATTTCAATCAGCACTTTACTTTTCTTAGCACAAAAAGCTGCGTCTTAATTTTCCATGGGTTTAATGACAGTTCATAGTAACATTTAGAAATCGAAGCTGTATAATCAAGTAAAAAGAACAAAGTAATTTGGAAAGGATTCCATTGCAATGACAACATTTGGTATCATATAGAAATATTACAGTGGTATTCGCGGTATTAATGACATGCAGACGGCACAATTAGAGCTACGTCTATGCCTATAGTACAAGAATTTATCAACAAGTCTCAATATTTAAATGAATTATAAATCTAAGAGCATAAATTGGAGCGATGCCGGTACCCAATAGCGGTTCGAAAATGTCAACAATAGGTCTTTATACAACTTTCGTATGGTCACCGAGATTAGATTTTGCCAAACTAGCACATTATAATATTAGTTTCAGTCCGAATCAGCAAATTCAAACAAATTTATTTTCCTGTTCTGCGTTAATGATATGAGAAATAAAACGTAGACGCAACTGCAAAGACGGGCTCAAATTTCTTATAACGTTTTCCGTCTCTGATTTAACGCCGTCTCCGACGAACATGTACTTTATATGGTACAGAAAGTCGCTTATGGGATCCATGAACTGTAAGCGTTCGCACGCTTTATCTACGTTAAGCAATATTTGGTACAGCTCGACTGTTAAATCCAGAAGAGACCGCGTTCTCTCTGCGTGAAGTCGTTGTAGAAACGGTCCGACAAGATGGCAAACATAAATCAACTGTTCTTCACGTTTTGCTATCGGCTTCACCTTGTCTTTGAGGAAATTTGGCAGCAATGATAATTGTCCAATACCTGCATGATGCCAGATCGCATGGCATAAACACAACAATGTACTACTTTCATTTTCAGAATACGTATCGTAACATTTCTTGAAATTCAACTTTTCAAAAAGTTTGTAGCTGGATTGTGCAGTTAGGCTTAGAAGTTCTTTCCCTTGAAGCGTTTTAATGATGCGATCACTGAGGACCGGCCACCAGCAGCTTTCTGGTAGTGACGTGATGATCAAACCAACGGCGTTCATCCACGACATAATGACGTTCCGGGGAATCTTGGTAGAGCTCTTCAAGACGATATCCAGCAGTCCTGCGCCCACGATTTGACTGCTCACTGGCAGAGCCATCAGCTCGACGCAAGACACATACAAAGCGTGGGCAGCCGGATTCGGGAATTCATTGAAACGCCAGTCACAGTCGGGGAACGGAGCTGGTGAGACGCCGGTTAACGTGTCCGAAAGTCGCTTGGCTATTTGAAGATAGTATTCTGCATCAGGTTTCCATTCCATATCGTCCATACCGCCTCCAAGGTACGTCAAATACGATTCCGATATACACCAATTCTTAGGGCGAATCTCACTGAAGGCGCCAATCACTGTTTGAAGCAGCTTTCTCTTCAGTGCTGGTCGATCCGCCAGTAGCTTTTCATAGTAATAATAAGTGTTGTACAGGTAGGTGATCGGTCTGTCGTGGAATTTAAACAGACATCCGATTTGTTCCAAGATGTTCTCCAGAACCTTATGGACAGCCGTGTTCTCGATCATTCGATGGATCAGGACATCCAAGACTGGCAGGAACCTCAAACAGACGTTCCCAAAGTAAACCGGAAGGTACTGATGCTGGATTGGACTGTTCATGTCCTGGATACCTTCAAAGTAGAATTTCTCCGGGTAGGTCCTGTGGAAGTTCATGTGCTTTTCGTGACAGTTGGTGGATTGCCAATGCTCAGGACTGTTGTCTTTGACAAACTCGTGGACTCTTTCTTTGAAGTCGTTCCCTTGAAGGAGAATCAGCTGCGTCAAGACGAATCTCAAGGTCGATTCCTTGGAGTCCATGTTCCTCAATACCAGACACAGGATGAGCCTGTCTATGGTGATGATGTTGCATTTCCAAATCATGTCGTTAACGGCTTCAACGTATCGATTGACCTGCTGCGACTGAAGGGAGACCTCGTATACCAGAAAGTCCACGAAAGTCCTCAAATGAGTTGCCAAAGCTCTTGGTCCCAGACGATCCAGAACTTTGTAAGCAGTCGGCGTCACTCTTTTTTCTTCGATCAGATTCTTCCAAATGATGCAGAGGAACAAGGGTGGCTTTCCCTGCATGGAAAATAAAGAGATGATGTCGTTTTCGTTCGCCATGCTTTTCCACTTCCGGTACTCCGTCTCTACGGTCTTCTTCAGGACGTTCTTGTCTTCTCTCTGGACTGGAGTTTGATTGAAGAAGTCACTCAAGCTTGTGGGAAAGCATTGAAGAGTAGCTTGTGGCCAGCCGAGAGGGGTGGACTGGACCACAGAGATCAAGATGTCTTTAGCCCAGTTAGTGGAGAAGCTGTCAGCTCCTGTTATGTGCATGGCTCTGGCAATGGTGAGGACTAAGACTCTATTCAGCTCTTCTGACTCTCCTGCAAGGATTCCTTTTGGTTCGTTGGAGATTCTTGACAGATGTGGTTGGACTTCTGCACTTCCCATGCTGGTGATGAGACGCAACGCTGTCGTTTCCACGCAGAGGTGGAGCTGGTTTTGATTGGCAGGTTGGATATTGACCATGGAATTCAGATAACTTAGCAGCTGGACTCTATAATGGATCTGAATGTGATGCATTCTATAACTGAACATCTCCAACAGAGTATGGATGATCCCAATGGCGTTATAGCTGAAAACATTCGGAAGCAGCTGTCCGATGAATCCTTTGATTCCCAAAGACTCGATCTCAGTGTACACCAACAGCCGACTGTACGTTTTGACCAGGGAAGGAGCTAACGCCACATGTGACTTGGATTTGGCTAGCTTCATCACTTTTGAAACTATGCTGTGGATAAGACTCATCTTGACGTGAACTGTCAATGAATCCAACAGACTCATCGACAAAGGTTGAATAGGTGCAGATGCAACAACGTTTCCAGGCAGCAGCGTTGTTGTTTTATTGTTGCCATAGATACACTCTAGAAGATGTCCCATTGGTATGCTGAAGCGAGTTGTGTCAGTGCTGTAGGCGTTACACAGTAGAGCAACCTTGAAATCGTTTAATACCAAGTTCTTCATGTTTAGAGTCTGGACCAGGAATTGCAAATGATCTCGTAATGCCAGAGGAATTGGTCGATGGAGTTGAACGTTGTCTGACTGTGCTTTCTTATCAATGTGAATCCAGATGCAGGTTCCAGCAAAAGCATGGGTGCAGTGAGCCATGGTGACGTCTGGAATTGGGATGATTTCTGAATCAGAATACAGCAGATCATACAGTTTCATCACTGGGAGAAAATCAGCCAAAGAATTCTTTTGAATGCTTCCTGATATAAACTGAAGAAGGACCCACATCAAATTGTCTCTGCCCTTTTTCAAATTCTTCCCCTTCAGCTTCTCATAAAGAGAGGTCACCATGTGAGGAAAACTAGCAAATTGAAACAACACAAAATAAATCAGCTGACTTGAAAGATGTTGCCATAGTAACTGATCATTTTCTCCACCACTTTCGTGACCTTCCTCGCATCTTTCTATCGCCATGACAACCTGATCTACCAGTTGATTCTCCAAAGCCTCACAGCGTTGTTTAGCCTGTTTGTTCAGACCAAGCATGTTGGACGCCATTTCTCTGGAATATGGTTGTTGGAGAACGTATCGCATCAATGCAGTTTGTGGTTCAGTCAGCTCCTTTTCGTAGGGTAACGGTCCATTCAGAACGAACGCCAACGTGTAGGAATTCAAACGCCAGACATTATTCGTAGCAATGGAGTGTCCAACCACAGGAAGTAGCTCACGTCTGCCGCAGATTGACACCATCTGAGCAGCGAATTCAAAACTGGTGATATAGTCTGATAAAATACGTCCTAGTCTCCAATGCGGCCATGTTTGCGTTGACAGGCACACCTTGGAGATTTCGTTCATGGCGAAGTATCCTGGCAACAGACAAGCGTTTCTGTCTAAAATGTATTCTATAACTTTCAACGATTCATCAATTTGGTTCAAGGCAGTGGCATGAGCTCCTGCAGTTTCCGTCGTCTTCTCTTGACATTTTTCTAACACAATTTTCAACAAATCTCTGGCCTCTTTGTAATGAACTCCGCCCACAATGTTTCGTAGTGTCTTAAACGTGGCTTTCCAATGAAGTTCATCTGTGTATGTCAATCCTTCGTGAGCTAAAAGATGGTCGCTGACTGGTTTAGCCGAGATTGTGTTTGTTTCGACGAGTGATTCCAGAATCTTACACAAAAGTTGGAGACGATTTTTATTGCGTTGAAGATAAATGCATTTCACTAGCGTCTGGAGGGCAAAGTCTAAAGATTCCGAAGGAACCGTCTGTAAAAATGCTTTGATTTTTTCCGTGTCTGTTTCAACTTTCTTCCCATAATCCCCTTCTTTAAAGATGATTTGGTTGCTAAACGCCTGCTCGATGTCTTTCTTCAAAATCTCGTCCAAGCATTCCATCATTTTGATTTCTACTGTTTTTTCATCCATTCATTCAAAATTCTGCAGAACATTTCATCTGAAAATAGTAAATAAAAATCTGAATAAATACAAGGAATTATGAGGAGCAATGGTCACTCGCTGGTTGGCTTGGAGACTATCTAAATAGATAAAAATACAACAGGCTTTATTAGCAGCATTTGAAATCAACAAGAGCACATCAGCACTTAAGTCTGACTGCCCAAACCTTGGACCTATGCTAAATAGGCTACACATTCATAAAGATACACAAGGAAACATTATAATTGCTATTGTGGTCTCACCAAAAGTGATGTCTTATTGACAACCCTCCCTTTTGCAGATACCAAGAAGCATTCCCTGCCTACCTATAGAAGCCTTTTTCACCTCACTGACAAACCATTACCATTGTCAAATAATCATTGAGTGACAACTGGTACAAAAGATAACATTGATTGAAAAATGTAAACAAAGGAAGCCGGTTTCCCGGGCAAGGGAATTTACTCGCTTACCCTCCTAAACATTGACAAATAACACAAATCTCTTAAAATTCATTTAACTCACCTTTAAATCTATATATTCGCTGAATGTCATCGTGTTTCAAACTCTATTGCATGGTGTTTTAATCGATTTTCTTAATTCATTGTTGTAAATAACGCGAACAAGGGCGCAGCCATTTTATATCACGTGACTAATTTATTGATTTCTCGTGTATCCAGCCTCAACAGCCATTCAACTTTGATAATAGTAGTAGATGGGAGAGAACTCTTGCAATCCTTGTAAATTTTAAGACAACAAATAACTTCATTTTTTTTTATACCATTAGTGCAATGCACTGAAAAGAGAGCACCGGGATCCCTTGGGATTGTTGTTCCTTGCAATCTTGAATGATCCATGATGGCTATTGATATCAAGAGTGAGAAAGTTTGTAAAATCTCCTACAGAAAGCACTGGCTGAGGTCCTAGATAAAGGCAATGATTTTGTCAGCTTGAATAATACAACATGACTGTTGATTTTGACATCTTGAAGATTTTAATTCACAGATTGCTGTATGAATATATTGCTTATTATTTAGTTTGTGTGATGATTTGTGTATTTTGATAGATTTTCAATTACTTCCTGTGAATTGCACTGATGTAAGCCTCATTTTTCTTTTTTTACGACATGGAAGAGCAAACCAGAGTTAATTCTAGTCACCCCCTCTGATTTACTTTAACCTTTACACTTTTCCCATTCCCTCTCAAGTATTTTTTCTGTTGCCCTACCCACAGAGATATCAGTCCCACCCTCACTCCAATAATGAAGGAAGGGGAATAAATTCAAACTTTTTCATAAAAAAACGAACGAAAACAACCACCACCAAAACTGATAACAGAAAAAAATTCTGCTGAACAAGGTAAACAAGAAACTAAACAGAAAAGAGTAAAATAATATGTACATTTTATTATTATAATGAAGTTACTCCAGTTCTCCCACCATGTGTGATTCTTTCTCTGATTTGTAGCCAACTGATCCAATCTTACTGTTCTCCATTCTATTCTGTTCCCTGAAAAATACACAATAATATTATTATATATACAGTAAATTTATAAATATTGAACAGATTCTGAAACATGTTGTTACTCCGAGATTCACGTTGTACGCTCTCCAGACAAATGACCTATTTCAGCCAGCGTCCCTACTGAAGTTTGACCAGCATTCTTGTTTCTTGTTATAAACTAAGAGTTTGACGTCATCAAATGCTTAGTTTAGGTGGAATGGCAGGAACCACAGACAACTGATTCAAAATTGGAATGTTGCAAATTGATGCTATCAGTGTCCCCAGTACACATCAAAATTTTGGAAAACCTCTTTATAATCCCTTTACAAAGAATAAATTGAAAAACAAAGTACAAACCTTTTCTTCTGAGCTTCTCTAATCTTTCTGATTTCTCTTGTGTTATGAAAGACCATTTTAGAAACGTGGCGATGTTTTAAAACACGTTTAACTTGAGGATGATTGCTAAATTTAGTTTTTAATTTGGCGTTATATCGTAATGTTGTACTCTCTCTAGATTTTAACTGAAAAATAACATTTTAGATTCAGTACAAGCATCTAAAAATTCAAGCATTGAAGCAGATTTCAAATTTTAAAAATTCATGCCATTAAAAGAGTGGTGAAGTTATAAGTTGGATATTACAGATCCGTTCTGATTAATTCTAATAATATTGATTTTATAATATTAACATTAGAATTGATTAAAGTTACAGTGAAATATTGGTCTCCACTTCACAAACAAAGGTTAGAAATACTAGCAAACCTACTAAACCTCAGTTTAAAAATCAAACTGGTGTAAATAGAAGCTAGAAAACCTTTATAGAATCTGTAAGAGACTTACTGTTCCTAGTTTTTCCCAAGCCCTGGCTTTCCACAATCTGATATTCATTTCCTCAGATCCAGACAGTATGTATTTATTATCTAGTGACCAACAACACGTGTGAATTCTGTGCATTCTCTGTGTGTGATATATTTCTCTGAAAAAATCATAGCAATTTAAAAATTTAAACCTAAATACTCGTTACTTTAACTAAAGTAGACATTAAATGAACCTGGTTACTCGTAACTTATAGTACGTAACTATAGCAATCACAAAATAAGTCTAGTCCTTTCCCAAAAACAATAACAATGAGGGGATCAAATCACATGGAAAGGACTTCTCCATTTGGTAAACGAAAAGAGTAGGCTAATGCCACCGTCCTGGCAAAATATCCCTACTGCACACACACTACATGACCCAATCAGGTGCAGAAACTTAGCACTTAAAACTCCATTCATTAAATTTCCATTGACTTTCACTTCATTATTTACCAAGCTCATTCTTCTAATAGTTTCATATAGAAATAAAAGAACTTACCTACTGTGACCGTGATCTAGTGGAAATATTCTTAAACAATGATCATATCCGGCTGTTACAAATTCTTTACCAGTTGGTGAGTAATCTACATCCATTACTGTAATATACATACATAATATAATAACTCAATCATTGTGGTCTTAGTCATAGTTTCATTAACAGCAGTTATCTTACTTTAAATAGCAAACAGAACAATTCTCTTGTACTTTTAAGATTTAGTTTGTTTTCATTCTGGGTGAATCTAGGTTGTTATTCTTGTAAATTATAGATGTTTCTTTCTTTGATCATCAACTATTAACAGCAGTTTATTTTTGTCTTGATAAAAATTTAGTTTGTAGAAAAGTCACGAACCTGCGGCAACATGGTCTCTGTGTACATTCATTGGTATAGATAACTTTCTCATATCAAACGTATAACAACTGAAATAGATAAACAAAGATATATCTTTACACATCTACGAAGTAATCAACATGTTTATTGTAAGGTATAAAGGTAGAATAATTAGTAAGAGGCTATACCAGCTAGTCTATATTGATTCATTAATACTCGCTTTTATGATACAGAATAGTCTAGATTTCATGTGAAAAAACACACATTTATTCTTAGATCAGTACTGTTTTGACGCTGATATTCCAATTCGATAATTTAATTTTATAAATTTCTAACAATTAACACACTTACTTATAGTCTTCATTAGCTACTGTAAAAATATAGGCTTCCATTGGATTCCACGTGATAGCGTTACTTCTTAATTTCAATATCACCTATTAATAGAAATATCAGCATTAATCAGTGTTTTATACAAACAGATACACCAGTCATATCATCCTGTATCAATACTTCATGATACAAGGCATAATAGACAAACATTATTTACATATTACTAGTCTGTATGTATAAAAATATCAGGTAGTATACCAATTGATTGATAACAGCTAGTACTGTGTGATACTAACCTTTCGTAATGGAGTAGATCCTCTCATATCATACAATATAATACTTCTATCAGATGCAGCAGCTCCCAGTATATTGCACTGTCAATAAAATTAACAATAATCATTTTAATAATATCTTCTAAAACAAGCTGTATTCATCTTCATAATGTCAAGCTATTACGAACTACAATAGCCAACTTTCTTGTATAGTGGAGAATTTTGATTGGAATCCATGACTTATTGTTAACAAACTATCTGTCTATTGAAGTCAAGATAAAACACGCAGTTTGTAATAGCTTGATCATTGTACATTAATTTGCAAATCTGGATGTTTTCATTTTTTTCAGCAGATAAATCCATTTTCCACCCATGATCTGACAAAAGTGTTATGCTGGTACAGTTCTAGGTCATTAAATATTCAACAAATCAAATGCTATGTTCTGAAAAGTGAGTGAACTCACCTCAATGGGGTTAAATTTGACATGATGTATAGAATCTACACCCCATGTAAAATATCTCATTGGTTCTGTCCTCTCTTCATCCCAGATATTTACTCCCACCCCACACGTGGCATAATAATTCTCTTTACCATGGTGATCAATACATTGAAACACACTCTACAAAAAATAACAATTATAAATGTTAAAACAGAACCTCAAAAAACATGTTCACATCTCCCTGAAACAATCGCTTTGCATTTCTGAATTTTTTGTTCTGCATATCTCTCCAGAAGTAGGTAATTTTCTGTCAAATTGATGTATTCCAATGCTGAAATTCACAGTCCCTACTTGTGACCTAGACCAGTGCTTCTATAAGAGAGTTCCTCTTATAAAACCTTACACTATGTGATCTTCAGTCAACTGATCAAAATTTGTACAATTTTCTTTAACAATTGAATAATATGAAGTCACTAAGAGAATATAGATAGATAAAATGGCTGATAAACTTTACCACTCAATCAACAAACAAAAAAGATATGATACATACCCTACCCATAATGACTGATTTAGGTTCATCTACAATATCACCTTCTTCTGTTAGACTCCAGTGTTTTATCAGTTTATCTGCACCCACCTAATCAATATCAATAATACCAAGATAAAATATAATATAAATATTGAAAGGAGTTATCCTGTGGCAGAGTGTTGCCAAAAAGAGACGGCATTATCATTCTTTCAAAACACTTTCAATATCAATAATAAAACCAAAATAAAAAACAAAGTCTGTTATATAAATAATGGTGGATCTGTCAAATGTGTTGTCAGAAAGATAGGGCATTTTCATTCTTTCAAAACACTTCACACCACTCTCTGTTACTGGGTTTGATAACTTGGAAGAACCTATTCAACTCTTCTTGATTATGTGATTACACATAAATTAGAGTCAAATTGAGTTGTTGCTCTTGTTTTCTTTAGCTTGAATAACTATCAAGACAGCACAGATCTGACTTCTATGCATGATACACTAATGGTATGTACTGATAGATTTTTTAGATTTTGTGTAGCTTACCGAGAAAATAGACTGTCCATTAGGATGAGCACACAGTCCTTGTACCAAACCATCATGTGCTTGGACAGTTTTTACACAATTCCTTCTTGCTATATTCCATAGTCGAACCTAAATTTGAACAAGAATAAAGAAAGATAACAACTTAGATCTCATGTTTCTTCCCTACCTTGGCAAAGATCCATTGTTTTAACGAAACAGCACTTTATAAATACAACTATTATTATTTTTGTTAAGCGCCCTGTTACTTTGTTATCATCTAAACTGTGCCAATTTGAATTAAATCCAATTAGGGAGATCAAGAGTTCAATTATTTCAGTTCACTCACCTCTCCATCATATGCCCCAGAAAATAACAATGAAAGACTGGTGGGATGTTTTTTAATAACACTGACACTGTCTCTGTGACCATCTAACGATCCTAGGAATGGTTTAGCAAAAACTCGTTCTAATTTAGCAGCATTCAATGCACGGACATATTCTCTGGGGGCCTCGAACGGATGTAGGTTTGGATCATAGTTTCTAGGGACTAAAATAAAGAAGTGAGCAAGTTTAAACTATGTTTAAGACTGAATCTTGATCTCCAGCAGGGCAACAGGCTACAAATCAGATTAAATATGATCATATGGACATATGAAAGAAATAAAACTCACAAGACCAAGTCTAAAATGATTTCATATCTGCTAGATCTATGCATATAAAAAAGGGGGATACCATTGGCAAGAAATAAGAAGGAAAAATATAAAATCAATCCCATTAATATTTGAATTACAATCGATCAAAAAAAACCAAAACAATCTAAACGTCATCACAGTTCACACGTGTGTTTGTTTACATTTTTTTATGATCGTTATTAAAACTAACCTTTATGGATGTCTCTTTTCGTTTCCCGGAGAAAATCATCAGGATTTCGACTCAAACATTTAATTTTCATTATTCCTGTGAAATCAAAAGACTTTCATAAGTAAAACGATCAAAATTTAATAAAAGTTTAAATATTTTCACGTTTGGAAGCCATGCTTGAAGATTTTAGCAAAGGGGGATAACTTAACTGTTAATAATTGACGTGATTATCCAGACATCTGAATAAAGTCTGCTGGTGGTCTTGACAGTTCAACTTGTATAATCAGACCAAATATGTGCGCTTTTTTACAGTGGGACCTGTCAAACAAGGCTTTGTTCATGATTCCGTGTTATAACACTTTACAGGGCAGGCTGTGAGATGATGTTTGCCTTGAATTGCTTGTGGGGTGAAACAGTTGGTCCCCTCCAGCCCCCTTCAGCCTCAGCCTTAGCCTTGGGCGAACAACGGGCCAGTGTGTATAGCTGACAAATATTCTGTTTAAACAAGGCTACTATAACGTTTCTAACTCACTGGATCCAATAGAATAGGATAAAGGTTTATAGTTAATTAATAACTGAATTTAAAATAGGAGAAAGCAAGGAGACACGAATTTATAATTGTTGAAATTTATTTATATATCGATAACAACAAAATGTGCAAATATATACAAAAATAAATCAAATATCGGAGCTTCATTTCCAGACGCCCGATGAATGGCATTATATCCGAAACCTTTAAGACCTAGTCTTGTGTCTTATGGGCAAAACTAGCTATTTGTACGGCCTTGATGGATCAAGTTAGCTCGACAAGCTGGCTCTACCAGTTATTTAGACGTAATATTATGTGATTTGAAATCACATCTGTACATCACATCTGAGGAATTGGTAGATCCAAACTACGATCAAGCACCAGCTTGTACCATGGAAGGCGTTGAAATAAAACCCTGGATATATGCAAACTAACCATAAATATTTCTATTAAAATATAACAAATTGAAGTCGATTTCTCCCTGAACACTGGAAATGATAGAGACCCAGTTTTACGCCCTGTCTTGGCTTTAACCATCGGAGATACACAGAGTAAATACTCAGATAATCTATTGTGTACTCTTTTATGTAAGTTTAATGCATTGAAAATCACAAAATGTCGAGAAGTCTTTATAACTAAACGAACGTATGTATGGGGAATGACTAAACTGGTCCGCCATTTCATCTCAAGCTTCGCACCGAAGTATAGCGATAAGCATACCGGATACCATTTATGGAAATGACTAGGGGTCGAGAAATGTACAAAGCAATGACTGTTAAGTTATTCTAAATATATATATATCCAATTTGAACAATTTTACAGCAATATTCAAGTCATAACGTATAAATAATTTAAAATTCCAGCGTCCGGTTAGATCTCGAACTAAATCTTAAAATTGGAAGACTTGGTGAATGTTGATTACCACCACCTTTTAGCAAAAATATAAAAAATAACAATTTAAAAACCGTCGCCATTGTGAAAAATTATAGTAGAATAAAATAATATATTTTTTTATACAGTTTTATAGTGGCCACGTGATTAAACAGGGCGTTAACAGCTGCTTCATAATACACCAATACAAATCCTTAAAGCATGTGTGCAGCACCTGCATTTACACTGGAAGTATGAGAATGGTGTGTTAGGGTCCCGAATCTCACAAACATGCTATAGAAATTTAAAAAGATCCAAAATGGAGCTGTAAGTGTCCCCCAATCCATTTAATTAATGCTATATAATATTTTAACACTCTTTTAATACGTTCTGAAAGCTAGAGGAGACCAGATCAGATTGTAAGCCTAATAAATAACCCCAGATGTCACTCTGCAATTTGGTTTGTCAATTCGGAATCTGTTTGTAGCTGATATAATAATGATTTTTTGGTATTTAGGTATAGGGTGAATTAAGAAATATCCAATAGATGATAACACGTCTAAGCCAAAATATCTATGTGAAATAACCCAGAACCACCATGAATTTTGAAATTTTGAATATTTTATATTACAAATCAAAAGAAAGTAGGCATATAACGTAATTGTCTTTTGTTTGAGGTATTTAAAAGAAGGTATGTCGCTAAGCTTTTGGGCGTTTCAATGAAAGCTTATAGGGAATATTTTAAGCTTTTAGACCCCAAAGAAAATATACAGGTATCTTGTCTTAAGCTTTCAGATAATTCAGACGTAAATGTTTTAAAAATAAAATGTCGATCTTTAAAATTGATAAAAAAATTAGGAATTAAATATTCCCTCATTTAAATCCCTTCAGTTGCATCTTTAAATAATCTCCATAATAAACGCAGCCATCTTTATTTGAATCCATGGCCTGTATTTTCTGTTCGAGTTGCGGCGTCACAGTAATTCCTAGGACTGTCTCCAAGCCTTTTATGATATCCGATTTGGACGCCCATCCACTGCTATCCCAATCGAAGGCTGCAAAAACACTCCTACAGCTACTGGTGCTGGAAAACATAAGAAAGGGAGATAATTGAGACACTTCAGACACTCCGTCTCGCACCTAGGCATCAATAGACACTTTTTTTGTATCACGGGTGCTTGTAAATGTAGTGGTTTAATTTCATCATATACTACCGAGGATAAAAAGAACACACTTACGCCTTTTCCAACTCGTCGTCGTTTTTCATCAAATCTACATATTCCCGTAATGTCATGTACGACGATTCATATTTCCCGCAATCTTTCCAAACTTTCTGTAAGATAATCAGTCAGATATAGATGAACCCTGAACCCGAAATATACAGACTCTTTTGACAGTTATCAGTCGAAACATGCTGACTCTTTCTGAATGTTCTCTATAAAGAGATTATCACCACGATGATTTATATTTCATAAATGCTTTCAGCGTATCTTGTATGCACGTGCAAATTAGCATTCGTCCTTAATCGAAACAGACTTCCCATATTAAGCTGTAATAGACAATAGTTGAACATGTATTCAATAAAGTAACCTCTCTACGCTGCCTAACACTCAAGATAGCCTTTAGGTGATAGGGCCGACTTTCAGCAGCACTCGCCATGCCATCAATAGTCCAGTTCGTGAACTTACCTTGGCTCCAGGAACTCCTAAATGGTAACCTAGACCAGCTAACAAACGTACAAACTCAGAGTAACATAATTTCCCATCTTTACCCAGATCCATGCAGGCAAACTCTGCTTTAAAATACAGTGATTCTATTTCATCTTTAGATAGCGAGATAGATTCCTTTCTATGTAGCTCAGACATATCTTCTTCGTGATCTTCTAATGTTCTGAAATATTACAAAGATACACATTTTTACAGAGGTAACATGATCCTCGGTTATTAAAATCGACCAGTGCTTTACATAGGAGATTCACGAACTTCTTCTTTATTGATACCAGGTATCTTTTTCTGAGAGTCCACATTGCATAGCTAATATTGTTTATTTTGTATTTAGGTCTGTCAACCTAGAACTATTTCAGAGAGACCATATAGATGATATTGATTTTTGATATTTTCAAGTGAATTCAGGATAAATACTGGTGTGTACTATATATAAACTCTTGTGTACAATACATATAGAGGTGTACCATATTCTGATGTGTACTACGCATAGGTGTATATATACGGGTGTGGACTATAAGTGTGTACTATATACGGGTGTGGACTATAGATAAGTGTGTACTATTTACGGGTATGTACTATATACAGGTGTGTACTATATACTGATGTGTACTAAGCATAGGTGTATATATATATATATACGGGCGTGGACTATAGATAAGTGTGGACTATATACGGGTGTGGGGTCTGTACTATATACGGGTGTGTACTATATACGGGTGTGGGGTGTGTACTATATACGGTTGTGGAGTGTGTACTATATACGGGTGTGTACTATATACGGGTATGGAGTGTGTACTATATACGGGTGTGGAGTGTGTACTATATACGGGTGTGGAGTGTGTACTATATACGGGTGTGCACTATATACGGGTATGGAGTGTGTACTATATACGGGTGTGGAGTGTGTACTATATACGGGTGTGGAGTGTGTACTATATACGGGTGTGTACTATATAGTAGAGGAGTTAGTTATAATTCATGTCATTAATGACGCTGTCCCTTTAATTGATATTTAAATATCATAAGCTATCTAATTATATATTTCAACTGATTGTATAAGTTTTTTCGTTCTGTGAAAAATAATTTGTAAAGAAACATGACAAAAGGTAGAATAAATGAGATGTATCTATATGTAAGTTAATATGAGGTTTAGAATATATATTAATTTATAATTAGTATTCTACTATTGATTATATACTATATATATTGTAATTATTATACAGGTAATGACTAATATCTAGAACTGTCACTGTACTATATTTATCTTATTCACTATTCAAATAATATAGTGTTTACGCCCTGCTGTTTTTCTGCATCTAATAATGTTATGTGCAGTGTGCGAGAGTGAACATTTGCAAGGAAAGAAGCATTAGACTTCTATTTTCAAATTTCAAATGCTGAGGAATCATGTCGGTTAAACTCTTTATTAAGCTTAAAAATTATTTGGACTGGTTTCAATTTAGATTGAACAACTTGCTTAGCAATCAGTCACAACAATTTCAGGGGGGTAAGGACCAAACAGACAGACAGAGGGGAGTGGAGAGGGAGTGTAACAGAATATAACGATAGAGAAAGGGGTAAAAGGGAGAGAGTGTGACAGGGGAAAGCTGAAACGAGGGATATTTTTGAATCAACGTATATAAAATAAGTACCCACTCGTCATCGACAATAGTAAGAGGGATGACCGGCTGGACGTTTGATATGTCCTCAATCCCTCCATCACTCGGCTTAGACTTGATTTCTGCCATTCCTTCAGTTTCTGTAGAATTCTTGCTTACTTTATCACCCATTTCAGTACTATCTGGACCATTCTGAACTATAGTATGACCGTTAATGCTGTCTCGCTTCTTTCCTGGGTCGGGCTCTAAAATCTCCGCATCCGAATGCAGGATGGGTACTTTGGTATCATCATTTTTTGAAGCACAACAGCAACACAGCATAATATGTCCAAAATATTTCTAATGTCTCCCCCTTGTCTCTTCAACTTCAAATAAAGGTCCAAATATTGTGTAATTACTCCATATAATATCCAACGCAACGTTTCGAATATTATACACTTTACTGTTAACAAGGATTATCCACATGAATGTTATTGCTAGGCTTTTGGTTCCCTGGGCAAAAGAGATCCCTCAACGATATTTAAATTCCAAATGATTCCAAGCCTCTCGGATAATTAAACAGTTCCTCCTTATTACGTTTAAAACTCAGCTTATGCAATAATCCACAAAGTCAAATTAGATTTAGCTAAAACTCTCCACGTCTAAGCTGTGACTAGACTCCTACTAGTTTATCAATACAGATATATTCTCTAGCTATATACAGGCAGCCAGTCAGCTAGTATTAACAATGAACCAGATAGGCATTGAAGTGCGAAATAAACATCATATTGTTTTGATTTTGAAATATAATCATAATTAAATCTTGGTTTAATTATGTTAAACTTCTGTCAAATATTTTTTTCTGAACAAATTGAGATCAAGCACTGTTTATTAATTATGAATTGATTTACAATCGAATACGATAATCTTATGAGCGTTATAAAGTCACAAATAGAGCGTCATAGAGTCACAAAACTGGGCGTTACAGAGTCACAAAACTGTGCGTTATAGAGTCACAAAACTGAGCGTTATAGAGTCACAAAACTGAGCGTTATAGAACGTTATAAAGTCACACATCTGAGCGTAATAGAGTCACAAAACTGAGCGTAATAGATTCACAGAGCGTTAAAGAACGTTAAAAAGTCACACATCTGAGCGTAATAGAGTCACAAAACTGAGCGTTATAGGGTCACAGAACTAAACGCTGGGGTCACAAAAAGTCATAACGCTTGAGCATTTGAGATTCGCTTGACACAATCGCACACTCATTTTGCTGTTATTTTACATTTCGAAAAAAAAATGGCTCGTCACCCAAATTTATGACTTAAAGTGAATTCAAAGTCTTTGAAATATTGCAGAAAATCTGTTTGGAAAATTGCCAGACTTTGAAATTGAAAACAAAGGACATCTGTTACATATAAAATAGTGATCGATATCTATAACTCACAGTACAATAGAGAAATAACTTTCAGAATAATAATAACAGGTACTCTAGTATAAAAATAACTCACCAAATGCCTTATTGCATTAAGGGTGACTGACAAGCGTAAAATAGATAGGGCAAACCCGTACATTGCACCTGCATTTCGATCTGCTATTATGGAAATGAGCAAAATGCCCTCTGAGTTAGGACACACGTGCCTGTATAATACGCATCTACTTTGCAATCTGCTTTTGTATTGGAAAATGAGCAGTCACAAGAAAAAGCCTTCCCCATACAGACTAGAGAGTTTTCACTTATACTGCAATCAAACTGCTTGGTTGGGAAAGGGTGTTATAAAAACTATAAACATGTTTTTGACTGCGTTGGAATATGGAGACAGATTTTTACTGCAATAGTAGTCATGGATAAGCGGGAGCCAGTGTCGGAGCCAGGTTTACGTCTGTCCCCCTTTGGCTCCGCCACTGGCATACTACACCTTTAAGTTCAAGATGGTTGGGTAGGGCTGTTAATCTATAAATGGAGTAAGGAACAGAAGAAAGAGAAAAAAGGCCTTGAAATATGATGTATTAATTACAATAAATCAATGTAAACTGTTTGATAAGGAATGTTTAGATATTGATTTACCACCAACACCTGTAGACTTTATTTCTTACACTATTGATTCTTACTTGTTTACACCCTTGAATCAGAGCGGAAATCGACCGGCCAAAATCATCATTCAAATACAAAATTCATAGACAAGCAGGCCTACAATGATTGAGTTTTGGGGAGAACAACCTTGATGATTTAAAGACATTCACTGCAATCGAAAACCATTTTTCAAACACAAAATCTACATGCAGACAACAGTAAACCTATAAATATTTTGTGTGAACCGACCGACGTCTAAAAAAACAGTTATTTCAAAACTTATGACAGGTGCGCACTGTGTAACGAGCAGGGAAACTATTAAACTCTTAAATGTAGTCTGTAGCCTAGTGGAACTTAACACGAGTTATCTCCCATATTATAGTATAACATTGTATCATTTAATGAAACAGTCATCTGGATCTCAGAGACAACGTGTGCATTAATTAAGGCAATTAATATTAAAATTAAATGAAGTTTAGCGTCTTTCTCTTCTGCACCGGTCGGGCTAATAAAGGCGATTAACACCATACAGTGTGCAATGACGGACAAAAGCACACTGTCGAAGCATCTGTTAAGCTAATAGTCAAAAATCTATAGCGAATTAAGATTGCAAGGAGATATATTCAAGTGAAATTGTTTATGATACTCGGCATTAAATCCCCCCTCCGCTCCTCCCTCTCTCTCTTCCATGTAATTACCTGGCGTACGTGAGCAATTAACATAATGCAGCCCTTCAGATAGGTAACTTTTTGAATAATATTTACAAAAAGAATATTTGAAAATATGCCAAGAAAATTTACAATAAGGGAACGACAATATGACAATGAAAAAAGCATAAAAAGATTTTCTTGCAGCAAGCCTCCCCCAAAAGCTTTCTGAAAAATATGCAACTTTTTGCAGAATTCGAATCAAGCGGTAGGCTACAATAAGATTTCAAATTTGACAGGTGTGATGAAAAGTAATGCAATATTGCAAGGAAACTCACCTAAGGCGCTCCGATAAGTATTCAACTTAATGTAATATAATATATAAAAAGGTGGAAAGTTTGAGCTATAGAAGAAGGAAAGATATTAATGATTGGTCGTTATTGATTTAGCACGCACCATTTCCTAGGAATATATTCATTTATTACATACACTTCAATATTAATCATTCTGAAGACATGACAGGTTATCTTATAAATTGATTGGTTTGAAATTACTACAAAACCACGCCCATTTCTCAATCTCTAAAAGAGGTAGCCTACTTGCATACGAGTACTATTATTTGAGATAATTGAAAGTAGTGAGGGTCTTGCTAAGAAAAAAAAGGGGGAGGGGGCTCGTGTAGATGCACCACAGGCCTGACATTTTAGCCTCCATTTAAGCAGACTGAAATAATAAGGATAGATGACGTATCCAGTAACCATTTACAGCTGGATTGATAGAAAAAATTGGAAAAAAATCACATTTAATAACAAATGTCATGTCAAAAGACAACACTTTAACGAAATGAGCTACAACCCTCCCTTTTTTTTATTATTGTTAAAGATACAGGTCGCACTGCCATTGATTACAATAATTTTTTTATTATTGTTAATGATGCAGGTCGCAATGTTATTGTGTATGAGTATACGGTAATTGATATTGCCCGGTGCCCTATTAATGTTTGTATAGAGAATACAGAACAATGAATATAATTATATTAGTAGTGAAACAGGTGGTAGTACAGGTGAGGGCGATTAAAAAATATATTATTACAACTCATAAATATCTTCTATAGCATATCGATTATAATCTTATATATTATCACCTAATAAATTCTAACCATGTGAACTCTCTGTGATATAATTACTATAATAAATATTAGCTATGTGAACTCTCTGTAAATCAAGGCCCTGATCATGGGATAAAGAAACCAAGTACTAAGGATATAAACTGCAAAACGAAACCTGAACTTGGATCTGTGATAAGAGTGATACACGATAATGAAATACAAACACTTACCTATCACACTTCTTCTTTCCAAAATGTTTCATCTTCTTAAACGGTTTTAAACCCTTCAGCGGCTTCTTATCACTTTTATCTTTACTGTCACCCTTTCCGCTCGAGTTCCCCATCTCGTTGGTGTTCTTAAACCGATGTACTGTCAGAAAAGCGGAAAATTCCTCGGTCGAAGTGCAGCAAGACTGCAGTGAACACGTTTTTATTACTAGTACACGTCACTCAATATATTGCACTGATATTTGACGCTGTCTGCTCTGGGGAAGTCGAAACTATGATAGTATATTATCACTTTTTATAATTTCCAAGTTGTTTTTCAAGTTTATAAAATGTATAGAATTCACGCTGTTTTTATTTTAGATTTATGGAAAGTTTTGTAAAACACACTGTTGTATTGTTGTTTAAAATCCAAAACAGCTAAAGGGCCACTTATTACTGACGATGATGTTTATACCCTAAACTGCAAAGCACACAGAATGATTTGATGCATCATCAAAATAAATAGGCCTATAACTTATTAAAATATCCACTGTTAAACTCAAGAGAAAGTCAAAAATTAAATGTTAAATTCAATTACGAAGCACAATATAAAACACAAAGTCTGATATTTTAAGGTCTCGTCTGAAATCTAACATTGAAAGCTAAAGTTATTTCAGAAATTCGGGTAAAAATCAATCCAATATCCAATATGAAATTAAACTATTAAACAAAGTATCACAAAGTAAGTTAATGTGCTGTATTAATCATCATAATAGGTTGTAAAATGAACTAGATTGCTAGTGAACTTCAGGGTGGGATACCAGACGACATTGTGCCTATAACTCCAGTCATACCACCACTGTTAACCTAGCCTAGATAACATAGTCCGAAACTTAGTGACTTTTACCTAGCCTATGTTACATAGTCTGAAACTTACTGACTTTTACCTAGCCTAGATAACCTAGTCTGAAACTTACTGACTTTTACCTAGACTAGATAACCTAGTCTGAAACTTACTGACTTTTACCTAGCCTATCTTACATTCTTACATAGTCTGAAACTTACTGACTTTTACCTAGCCTAGATTACCTAGTCTAAAACTTAGCCACTTTTACCTAGCCTAGATTACATAGTCTGAAACTTAGCCACTTTTACCTAGCCTAGATAACCTAGTCTGAAACTTACTGACTTTTACCTAGCCTATCTTACATTCTTACATAGTCTGAAACTTACTGACTTTTACCTAGCCTAGATTACCTAGTCTAAAACTTAGCCACTTTTACCTAGCCTAGATTACATAGTCTGAAACTTAGCCACTTTTACCTAGCCTAGATAACCTAGTCTGAAACTTACCGACTTGTACCTAGCCTAGATTACCTAGTCTAAAACTTACTGACTTATTCGTATCCTATAAAGCAAATTTGAATTTTTTTAATCTATAAAGTATAAGCTTAATCAAGATAGATGTTTAGAAAGCTAAGACGTAAAACTCCCGTTCGTTTGAGTCAGTAAGTTTCGGACTATAGTCATCAATACGTCTCCAATATACATCTGGTGTCAAATCAATTATATTACAAGTTTTTTTCTTATAATAATCCTCTAGTGAGTCAGGATCATGATAGTGTGTTGTTATATTATTTTCTTATATCGTTATTTTTATACATTGTATTACTTTGTTGGTTATATTAAGAAACTGTCAGCTCAAATTAAGCGCATGTTTATTATAACTCAAAGATTTAAAAACATTTCCAGAATCAAAACTAGATCACAAATTACATATTTTCGTCCAATAGCTAATAAAAGCTTCAAATTACAACTAATTTTTCCGAATTATAAATTTTTTTAAACATTAGAAATGAACTTCCACTGTTCCAACGAACAGACCTGATGATGGCTCTGTATCTGAAACAGTATCAAGGTATATTGATATCTCAGGTGGGTTTGGTACAAAACAGTTACTAATATAAAACTTTACACTTCAGCGGGTAATTTCACTCTAATATATTTATTTATATAATTTTACATATTATAAAAACACCCAAATAACTTTCTGTTCAGTGAGACAAATTGGAGTTTTACATCCTATTTTTCTGCTCCTATATCGAAAACTGTATATTTATCCTGTGCCTATATATACTTAAGAAGTTGGTCAAATGATAACGTAAAAGTAAAAACGTAGCCTACAAACAAAGTAGACTAGATCAAGGCCAAGAGAAGTATCGCTATACAAATTCCCAGCCCCTGATATATGATATGGTTACCTAGGGTCTTGTGATATATAATACTATAGTTTTCTTGTATAATGGAATTCTATTGGTTGATATCATATTCTGACTGGTCCGTTATTAGCTTAGAACGCTACAGTTTTGTTAGCAGCTTTATGGTAACTGTCGACGGTTCCGAATGATCTGGATGCTGACTTTGACTTTGACTCCTGTAGCCATGCTAACAGGCGTTTCCCCTCCTTTTGTTTATCATTCACCAAGAGCTTAAACAATCATGTAATATACATATTTTATATACAGCACAGCACGCGCTTGTCACGTTCTAAATGGAATCAATTACCGTGATTATTATGTGTATAATTAAGTTGTATGTATTTTATCAGAATAATTTATATCAATTAGATAAATACAAGTCTGATACACTTTTATAACACTAGAGTAAACCACATGTTTCAGGTTCCGTTTTCATAACTTTATATCGCTCTACAACACAGAAACGGTGAAATATTTTGTAATATAGATATGATCCCTCCATTGTGTCTACGCTTCGTTGATTTTCATATCAAAATTTCATAATCTATAACTAATGTTTTAACAATGTGGATTTCGGTAGCAAACCTTCGTTACCCTTGTATTTTTTTTTAATTTCCAAGTAGACCCATTCTGTTTGAATTAATATAGGATAGGGCTTATAAGTGGGCGGGGCATTTCTTATCCCTTATTCTTACCGTTAGCTTCTTCTGTTTTCATTCTTTGTTGGACAAATGTTGCTGTGATAGCAGCCACGAATGGATCAATCTATTCTCATCTTATCCATTGCATCAATATTTTCTGTACCTGCAAATTAAGAAAAATAGTGTTATACAATATATACGATCTATAATTTGCGTTAAAAAATCCCTCGACTGTTGGAAATCGAAAGAGAGTAGGCTAATATCGCTGTCCTGGTAAAAATTCCCTCATTGCACACTGCATGACGTTGCTCGTCCTCATTAGCTCAATAAGTAAAACTTCATTCATTTCATTTCAATTGCCCCACGATTCTAATACACTGATAAAAGCAGGTCTTTGAAATTTATGATTAAAGGGAGAGAACTACACTTTTATAAACATTTAATAATTTAATAATCAGACTACAAATAACTCTTTGATTTTTCAGCTATAGGGATACTATTAATCTATGATCGCCATAATTATGATTTTTACAAGAATATACCCCTACCCCTTCCGACCCTTCACCAAAATTCAAAATCATACATATCTCAAAAAATAAATTCACATTTTTTGGGTCTAAATTTCTAAAATTAGAACCTCTTTCAGTATCTAAAAATAGTGTCTACTGATTGAATTTTCATGACAATCGAGACTACTATCTACATTGTGTGTAAATTTTTTTATTTTGATATCGATTGATTGTCAGAGCTCAGATTACCATCGGGAATTTTCTTCTAGGCACTAACTTTTGAGGGTTGCCAATTGAATAACGGAATTTTGAAAAAAATTGGACCAATTTTACATCTATGAAAGTATGCAACTCCTGTGCTTAAAACAATAAAGGATTTGTTTTGAAAAGTCTTTTAATTTGTCGGTTTCAAAACTGGAATTGTTTATTAATTTTGTTCAAGTTTAGAACAATTACAAATAGAAATCCACAAATGACGGTTAACCCTTTAAAAACGACTGCTCCCTAAATTCCTTTACAAATTCTCTCCCCTTTTTCGTCTCCTAATTTGGGTGGGCGTTGAACGAAAAGGAAACGGTAGGATTTCATTTTAAGTTTTAGTCATATTTCCCCGATAAATCTACTTTTGCTTTAGTTTTTGGATCCCTGGCGATGTCGGGAACAATACTAAAACTGTTAACAAATCTTAAGTGGGTGTAAAGGAATTCTAGTTGAGGAATTTTCATGGAAAATGTGTGAGTTTTCGATCGTATCTTTCGACTCCCTCTTCGTGACCTTTTCTGTCAGTGCAATTTAGGGCGATGTTTCGGAACCCTTTGTGGCCATCCCAGCCGATTTCTGAGGATTTTAGCAGAAATTTTGGAATATTTGGTATCCTGACTAGCAACCTATCGTCTCGTTTGGGTCAAAACTGACCAAAATTTTGTTGAAAAAGTTAAAAGGGGTTTAGGGAAACTTTACTAATTTATTCTACACGTAGTCAGCCGCTAGACGGCGCTCGTTATTTCCTTGGCCCCTAGGGTGTCTGTAAAAATCCAATAATTTACCTAATTCTTGACCCCCGATCTCTTGGAAAACATCTTAAGGACGTTCTTGAAACTTTTCTGGAAGTTATGATCCATTTTGATTGTTTTTTCATCCATGTTTTATGGGAAAACAATGGGATGAAGTAGCGAGATTAGCAGACGATTTTCAACCAGACGTAAACGTCGCGTGCTGTCAGTTTTAACTGGGGGAATTTTGTCGGGAGCAGTTATTGTGATGTACCCTATGCGCACAGCAAATTTTGTTTATAAAATTTTTCTTTGGGGATTAAATTAATTGGAAATAGTTTTAAATTGCAAATAAAATATATTTTTCACTTATGTCCATCCCTAAGAACTCTTTTGTCTCTATGTTGTGCCAGAATGCCTGTTTAAAGAAAATTAACTCCCCATTTCAACAGCTATTTGTCCTGATGAGGATTGTGTATCTGACACATGTCTGTCAGAAGCACGAGATAAGCAACACATGAACAATGTTCCATATATGAATATATGACAATAGCTATTTTTAGACTATTTTTAGACTGGGTATTTTATCATATAATTCCCTATTGAGTGTCTTATTTAGAATATTTATATTATAAGTTAATGGTAGATATAGACCTAGATTCTTTCACTTTGAATAGGTTAATAGTAGATATAGACCTACATTCTTTCATTTTGAATAGGTTAATGGTAGATATAGACCTAGATTCTTTCATTTTGAATAGGTTAATAGTAGATATAGACCTACATTCTTTCATTTTGAATAGGTTAATAGTAGATATAGACCTACATTCTTTCATTTTGAAGAGAAATTTGTTTGTGTTTATTCGTATTTCAATGTTAAGTACTGGTACTGGCTTTCAATAAAATCTGCATACTTTATTAGCATCGCGAAAAGACAAGTCCATGGTTTGAATTGTCCCCAAATTTGCACAAATATATTTGTTTGACAATACAAGACATTCAGTAGAAACATGAAATCAATGTCCTGTAATATTTTAGATTCTTGATATGTTTTCTTTATTGTCTTTTCAGGAGAAATGGGAACCAAACCAAAACCATGAAAAACTAAAACCTAAGAAGAATATACCAGAAAATGGGAATTTTTCTACCAAATGTGCCAACATATTTGAACTAAGTCTCTTATTTATTTTTTCGTATTAATTTGAATCATCAAAATCGTTCAAAATGAGTTCCGAATCGAAACGGAAATCAAAAACCCCAATAAAGTTGACCACCAGTTTCGTTAATCTGTGCAGATTCTGTGGACGTCAGTTCGACAACATTGAGGACTTGCAGGTGCACAGTCAAGCACATTTTAGCGAGAAGCCGCCACATGTTTGTTATGTCTGTGGAAAAATGTACAGCACTCCTTCAAAATTGCAACGTCATGTTCGAGTCCATAGTGGAGAGCGTCCCTACGCCTGTTCTATCTGTGGAAAGAGGTTTACGCGCTCGGATCACGTAAAACAACATTTGAAGGTTCATATGCCCCAGCGTCAGAAGAATATGTGTCGACTGTGTGGAATGAAATTTATGAGGAGACAAACCTTACAGGTCAGTGGGAGAGATTTTCTAAGCACGATGACCAGTTCTAGGTCTTTGAATTCCTTGTTCCGAGAGAACAGCAAAGTTTTGAATTGTTTTATTGTTGAATAGAGGAAAATGTTGCGTGCTGGTGGCTTAACTCTGGCCTATGATGATTAATTTCACTTAAGGAAGAAGGAAGAAACACTGTTGTCCTGTCCTGTCATATGAACTTTGTTAGGCTTACAGGCATTATAACTCTGAAGCTTACACATTCCAAAGTATTTTCATCTAGTCAAATATCTAATAAGATTCATGCATAATTGATTTGATTTCTTGTAATTTCATCCTCCATCGTTATTTTGCCTATCAGGGAGGAGAATAGAAGGACGTAAAAACCATTTCATTTCATTCTTTATAGTCATTTCTGACGGTCTTTTGCGTCTTATTGTAGGTTCACCTGAAGAGCCATGGATTGAGTCAGATATATACCTGCAATAGATGCGGAGAAGCTTTCGACTGCGGAACCAAACTAAATACTCATAAAGGCACCCACGAAGATATGATTGTAACCAATAACAACGGTGAAAAAATAACCGTCAAATTCGACCCAGAGGCCATGGGAGCTGATTGCGAACCTATTAACGGTATTGCTAAATTTGGTCTGGGGCCTCAACCAGACGTTAAAGAATATCCAGACGGGTCTATTAATAAAGAAAGCAATAACCCTGCAGTAATTAACCTTATGAATATTCATAAAGACGAAGGTAACAGTATGAGTGCTATGGACTATAGTCAAGTCGGGTTGTCAAGTATTGTTGCTAGTAGCAACCAACAGGAAGAAGGAAACGGGGATTCTGGTGAGTTTAGTTCCACTGATTTCTTGAACCTGAAATTTGATTTATTTCGACAGAATTGTGCCATAGGTTTTATGGAAATTAATGTTAATGATTGTCTTACGAAAGGCCTTGAGAAATTTTATCACTTGAAACTCGCAACACTTCCTTAGTAGCAGAAACACTTGATAGTCCTGTAATATCCCTGTTATTGTTTTGATATTAATTATATTGCTAAGATAATTTGAAAATTGTTTTCCTGTCTCAAATAATTTGAAATTTTAGACTGGAATAAAGCATAGAAGTGTATTCCAAATAAAATATCTAGAGCTGTATTTCAAACAGAAAGAGGGAAGTAGCACTCATAAATTTGATGAATTTTGTTGATTTTTCTAGGTCGTAGTTCAGTTATGTCAAATGTTTCCAATTCATACACGATGATAAACGACAAACCGAATACTAGTTATCTAGATGATAACGATGCAGAAGAAAAGATGATCATCATTCCTTCCAATGTGGAAGATGACGAGGAAGAAAGAAGGGGAAATAACTCAAGCCCGTATTTTAACGGAGATCTAGTCAACGGTAGAAAGGATGAAGACGATGATGATTTAAGGTCAAGGACAGTCACAGAACCAGACGATCGTCATATTTTCCAAACGCCTCCATTAATGTGTCCTCCACGAGTCGAGAACAAACGTCTCGCTCCACGATTATACCAGAATGCATATCGTAAATTGTTGTCCTCTACGATCAACAATACGGTCAATAATATCGCAAGCAATTTAGGCACAGCTACCCCCGTCGTTGGACAGATGTCTGGGTTCTTTTACGGCAAGCGTATGACAAGATGTAACCATTGTTGTATCTGGTTTGAAGATAGTTCTATGAGTATGTTACACATGAGTCTTCATTCAGCAGACGATTCAGACCCTTTCACATGCAAAAAATGTCTGAAACGTCTGGGGAATCGTTTGGAATTCATGGCTCACATAGTCTGGCATTTGGATTCCACGTTGGCTGACAATGGCGTGGTGAATATGTAAATTTAGTCACAGAACTTGCCAAAATTAGAATCTCATTCTCTTCTATTAAGTATTTTTACGTTAAACCAAAGCAATGATGTCACATTTTGAGTTCACAATATCAGTCTATTTGGAATGATTGTCTATTGATAATACACATTTTTGACTTCCATGTTGATATCTATCAAAACAATGTGTTAACAAGTTCTCTTATTGCAGGGCATTTATTTTACATCATTACTGTTAAGAGAACAGTTCTAGTTGTAAATTTGTTTTTTGGAAATGCTAGAAATTTAACTATGCACAAGAGAGACAAACAATATCTCATTAAAGAGTTTTTATTTGGCTAGGATTTGTTGAAATATAATTTTGAAGATGTCTTGCAAGCTGGTTAAATAATGTATTCGTTACGTGTCATTTTGGACGTCAAAAAGGAGCTCCTTAGAATATAAACTGTTATATAAAATAAAAACTTTCTTGCACAAATATTTAGGAGTCTAGAAGAACCGTTTTAAAATGGTTGTCAGAACGATTGTAGCAAAACGTAGTGAGAAAATGTTGCCAAAAATGTACAAAATTTGTTGTTGTTTAAAATTCAAGGCTGGATAATAGTCTGCCAGGCAATAACAACACCCCTAAGTTTAGAAATGAACTGTTCTCAATGTGATTAAAGTATTAGTAAATGCATGTGTGGATGAGTTCAATGAAGATCCAGGGGTGTAAGGTTGTTTACAGGTACGCTTTATCTAGTTTTGAAACTGATGCAATAAAACCTTATTTTTGTATTTGCATAGATCATGCATTTAATGTTTTGTATATTCAACCTTAGACATGCTTTTTTAAGGGCTCGGGGTTTTGTTTTTTGAAATCGTACTCCATTTATATTTTGCCTGGTATATTGTTATATATATCATTTGTTGTGGGTTATAAACACTTTCGAGAATTTTATATATCAATTGACACCTGTTTTACATAAAATCTTTATAGTCAGTTCCAGAAAAGACCATAAATTTGCCTAGAAAACAGTAGCAAAGGTCAATTTTGAAATCAAATGTTGGTCTCAAAAAAGGATATCATGGAAAATAAGCATTTAAACACAAATATTCATGATTTTTTGATTGATATTTCTAAGTCAGAAACTTGGTGAATTAAAATACAAAATTCTCTGAAAGTTTTCATGTAAATAATTCATTATTCACATCTACTATTATTATTATTATTATTATTATTATTTATGTTTTTTTTTCGGTAATTTTTGCTGCATGTCTTGTGCTTAGTTTAGTCAGAGGTGTTAAGAGCATGCTGATATGATATACTCATGTTTATATTTTGTTCAAGTTTGAAATTTGATTGTTGTTTTTTGAAATTTACATCTTCGTCGGTCAAATTTCATAGATTGTGCAAGTGGAATAGCTCATTCGGTACTGAGTTGGATTGTCGACTGCTAGGACTGTGTAATAGCTCATTCGGTAGGCAATTGGATTGTCGTCTGCTAGGACAGTAGAATAACTCAGTCAGTACTGAGTTGGATTGTCGTCTGCTAGGACGAAGATGATCTGTGACATTTGACCAGTGATATTGTAAAGTGTACAAGACATTAGTTTGTTTGTTTGAAATTTAGTCATATGGTTATCTTTACTTACTCTGTTATACCTACTTATAAATTTTATTATTTATTTGAGTTCTTATACACTGGAGGCCATCGGTCATAATACTCCATTTAATACACTTCTTCTCATTGGTCGTTAACTCTTTTTAGATTAAGTTCAACCAATCAAATTTAGTTTTATAGACGAATCAAATAGCTCCATTTCTTGAATTTACCGAAGCCAAATTTGACTGAGTTACGAATATATGATGTAGATTACCTTATGATAATGTGTATATTAATATATATACAGTTCATGGTGCTTATTATCAGTCAACTCTGTGAAGTTTTTGGTTGATTGTCTCCAGTGTGAAGTTCTCTTTAATTTAATTTTGAGATTAGATCAAATTTCTTATTGTTTCTGACTAGGTTTCCTTGTGACAGGGTATACAGGATTTGAGATGTTTGGAATAGGACTGTCTATTTTATCTCATTCTGACCAGATATTTCGCGAGGTCTAAATAACATGACAAGTTATAAATCGGAATAGTGCTTTTATTTATAAAATACTCTCTGTCTCTCAGTTAAAAACTTTTTACAGATTCATCAAAACCTGATACTAGTTATTGGGAATTCTTGAAGTAATTTGGGGGTCCTGTAAGTAATTTGGAATTCTGTAAGTATATTGGAATTCTTTAAGTAATTTGGGGGCTCTTTAAGTTATTTGCAAATCTTCTCTAAGTAATTTGGAATTCTTTAAGAAATTTGGAATTCTTCTTTAAGTAATTTGGAATTCTTTAAGTAATTAAGAGTTCTTTAAGTAATTTGGAAATCTTTAAGTAATTAAGAGTTCTTTAAGTAATTTGGAATTCTTTAAGTAATTTAGAGTTCTTTAAGTAATTTAGAGTTCTTTAAGTAATTTGGAAATCTTCTTTAAGTCTTTAACTTAACTTTGTTAAATTTATTGTTTATATAAGTGTGATATGTTAGTTTTATTCTCTCATTCTGTAAATATTTTGGAAATCTTTAAGTAATTTGGAAATCTTTAAGTAATTTGGAAATCTTTATGTAATTTGGAAATCTTCTTTCAGTTAATGGAATTAACTTTGTTAAATTTATTGTTTATATAAGTCTCTGTGTGATATGTTAGTTTATACTCAAAAAACATTTTGTTATACAATTTTCATTGTTGGTTAACGTTAAATCAAATGAAGTCTCACTGATTTAATACTGAGTTTATCTGAATTCTCACAAAAACATCTGAGTTATGTCAATTGAAAAGTTTGATATAAACCAGTGTTTCTCTTTGACATATGTCTCTGTTTCTAATAATGTTTTCATTGAATCTTATTTTTGATGTCTTTTGGCATTGATAATTACAATTTTAAAGTAGAAAATACAGAATTTGTAAGGTTTAAATTCTAAAGGAAATTACTTTAAAATTTCAATACAGTTTAAAAAGAGAATAGGTCCTGAATGAAAATGAATTGTGATGTTTTGTTCAATAGTATGTTGATTATTGGAGTGATATGTAGTTAGAATTTAGTAAAGGGATGTTGATTTGATTGTATTTACCAGTCATGTCTGACAAGAGCCACAAAGTTCCAGATTTTGGTCTTTGTAATAGTTAGTTTGGAATATTTATATGAATTAATAACGTAGTCATTCTATGGTCCTGTGATTAAAAAATATTCTTAAATTATATTAAAGCAGGACATTTTTTAGTAGCAATCAGACTTGACTGGTAAATACAGACAAATCAACATCCCTTGTGTTAAATGTAAGATAAATGAAAGGTGTTTGTTATTGCATGGACAGTGCCCATTATTTTTGTATTTTTGGAAAAGGGAGATAATGACGTTATTTTTATTGTGTTGAATCTTAAAATTTCAATGTAATGAATATTCATCATTTTCTCTCTGTTTCCTGTTTATTATTATAGTTTGTTTCTATATTCTGTATTTGATCTATAGTTTGTATCTTATTTATGCATGTTAGGTTTTTGTTTGTATGCTATATATATATATATTTATATTGTCAGCTAGAACTTGTTAAGAAAACTTTGGAATTGACTTTGTTTACTAGAAAGGCATTACAAATCTTGGCATTCTCTCCAAAGATATCTAAGAATAAATTTTGTTTAAAGAGAAAACACATACAGAAACTGTTGAAAAACAAAAATTGACATTTTCCAATGTATTTCTTTGTTTTTGGGGACAAAAGTTTATGAATTATGTACACAACTGTGCCTATATTTGTTTGCTACCCTACTTCTATATTGAACTCTTCTGCACATGCATATCATAAAACAGTCTTATTGTTTTGTTATATTATAGGAAGATTCTATTTTTATAATTAGGGGTGTTTTGTAGTAAGAAAGGTAATCTAATGTTTTCTGAACGAGTTCTAGCTGTAGTTTGTTTTGTTTGTGAGTATATTATGGTTTTGTCTTGTCTGAAACTTACTGACCCTTACCTTGTCTCTGATGGGGTCCTGTAAGGGTCTCTGATATATATTTGACCGGTAAGGGTCAGTAAGTTTCAGGGTTGGTTTTGTCTAGTCATTTTGCCATCACCTCATTGCAGTGCTTAAACGCAATTCGCTTGCTGTTGAATGATATAAAAACCTGTGTTATTCATTCAAAACAAATAACTTGGTCATTGATAAAAAAAATTGCTTTTTATGAACAAGTTAGATCGTTAGATTTATTCTTAATTTTCAAGGATATTTTCTTAATTAGATATTTGTTAGAATTATTAAGTCAGGTTTTTAAATTGACGGGCGATTGGATTGTGCTTTATTTTTATAATTTATTTTAAACTTAGCCATGTCACTGAACTGATATTCTATACTCCATGACTCAAGCTTTTTTCTTCTGAGTTTTAATTTCCATTGAAACTTCTTAATTCACGACAGTTAGTTAATAATTAACAGATATCTGAGTGGGAGACTGTCAGTTTACTCCATGACTCTTGAGTTTTTTTCTTAAAATTTCTTTACGTCTTTATTGACAGTCTGAAAATTCTTAATTCTTAACTTAAAACTTTGAACAGAACATTGAATATAAAAATGTTATACAGTAAGATATTTTCTAAACTTATGAGTTTTGAAAAGAACATTTGTAAATTGTAGAAACATTGTATATCTCCTACGATGAAGATGTATGAAGCTTCTTTAAGATTGTGATCCTGTTGCCAATATAAGTTATTATTATTATTATTATTATTTATTATCTAAAGTGCTATGGTTACAGAGTAGTCTGCCATTTTCTTCTACCCTTGAAATTTCAAACTGAATCTACCGTCTTTGTTTTGTGGATTATGGATTCAACTTTAAGAGAACTCGTGTGAATGTCTAAATGGTATGAATAATTTTAGAAAGCTCACGATTGTATGACTTTTAGAGGACTGGTAGTAAATTGTTATTGATATAAATAATATTACTTTCCAATTGTATAACAATCTTTCAGATTTGAATAAGATAGATGTATGTCTAGAACATTATTCAGTTATTTTTAATTAAGAAACGTTACCAGTTTGAAATTATAAGGGTAGAAGAAAATGGTTTCATTTGCTAGTCAAGATATTACAAGTCAAAATAGTCAAAGTTTCAGCTAGTTTTTAGTTTAGTTTAAATACATATTAATTATTATTATGAAAATTATTTAATATTAAAAATCTAGTCTAAAAATATCACATGTATTTATTAAATTTCTTTGAAATATATAAATAAGTTATCAACTCTTCTAATATTTCAAACATGGTGCAGAATAGTAGGATGTAAAACTCCACTCATTTCATTTCAAATATTTGAATATCTTAAAGTTTTTTTCTTATAATTATGCAAATTTTCTACTCCCTGCTATATTTCTGTTTCTTTCCATCTTTTTACATATCACTTGTGTTTGTGATTTTTCCTTCAGATTTCAACCAGAGCATGCTTTTTATTCTGAAACACCTCATATCACTGTGTATTGTGCTAGTCAACGTGCAGTCTTGATTAACTCACTAAGGAGTAGTGAATAGAATTGAAGCTCTGTCTAATTTCACTTGTCCACTCGTGTGCACTCTTGGTCTCTGATTTCTGGCGCACAAGAGACAAAAAATCTCCAGTCATTAGATAATTTTGTACGGATCATGTAATTGAAAGGAAAATGAATAAGATTGTTCGTGTGGACACAGCATCAGGAGTAGCTAAATAGGACCCGTGTCATTTCATTTGTCTTTATGTTACAATTGTCAATATTGGCCCTGTGATTTGTTACGATTGTCAATATTGGCCCTGTGATTCGTTACGATTGTTAATATTGGCCCTGTGATTCGTTACGAATTGTTAATATTGTCTGAATATTTCTGATGTTTTTTCCCGCTTCTGTTATGAAATCTGAAGGGAAATCTAGTTGTTGCGTGTGATGTCTTTTCCACTCTGCTTCTTTATTTATATATTCATTAAGCTGCCATATTTTTTCTTTGTTTCATCTTCACATGTTCAAAAGATTCAGTAATACCCAAAGGTTTTCCTTGTTGAATGAATCCCTTGATTCTGTGAAGATGTAATGACAATCATTTTGCCGATCCTATTTTCATAAAAATTATAGCCTGATTATTTTACTCATTACAAAATAAATAACATATTATTCATATTGGCTGTTGTGAAATGTGGGTGTGAACATAGTGGGGGCAGAGAAAGGGTAGAATTGTGGGTAAAAGGGAGGGGGACATGACTAGGGTGGGGAAAAAAGTTTTGGAGGAAGGATGTATACATTAGAGCTCCTCTCATGCTGTCAACATGTTTTTGATATACTCTTCTCATCTGAACAACTAGAGTTGTAAATGGGATTCCCCCCCCCCTCCTCCTCCTTCTGCAGGACCCCCCTTATTTTTAATTCATATGGGTCTATTAATGAAAACTATAGTATATAATTTGTACAAATATTTTATATACAATGTAATATAAATTATATCAACAAAAATCAACAAAAATATATTTACAAACTAATGCTAGGAAGCAAGATGATTATAGATCATACATCCAAAAAGCAAATTAATAACACTTTATAATAAATATTGTTACTATAACATGTTTCATCATATTTATATATATAATCGTACCATGTCTCCCTTTCAAAATTAGGATTAAGCACCATACATGATTCACAGATATCATACCATCTCAAGGAATTAGGCCATATTCAAGTCACATTTACCAGGGGAGATAATAATCCTCTCTCACCATATTCTCTTTAATATTCACTGTGGTATAGAATATTCACCCTATTCTATAATGTATCGTGCATCTCATGTTCACAAATATAGTTCTGTACTATTTACAGCCAAGCATATCATTTACAGCGTGGTATAGTTTATATTTAGCACATTGTAACACAAATTGTTGATAACACATTGGCTATTGGTTAAACCAGATAACGCATCTACTCTACTTGATAAATAAATTAGATGTTTGCTTCTTTTTGTATATCGGAAAATCCACCATTTGTATTGTCCTTTCAATGTCTGTCCTGGTCAATGAATCTCATCTATAATATTCAGGTCAAACGACCATGAATATGTGAGTATACCCAGGGTAATGGATAGAAACAAAATCGCCAGATACCACATGATGTATCAACAGTAAGCTATATTAGAACTATGATACATGAAACGAGATCCCAACCATCCTCTTTTCATAATTTACACATTTTTTACACAAGTTACATATATGTAATTCAGGTTGCTAGGATACAGGTTCCGTTAACTGTTTGTTTGAAACCTTGACAACAATATGATTGACACACAGATAAATACGACTGATATCTGAAATATACAAAGAATCATATTTTCATATTATGGTCAGATTATAACTGTCAGTATCAACTCCCTATGTAACCTTATCATTGACTTTACTATAGAGTTATAGTGCGTATTATAGTCGCAATTATATGATATATGTTTAAGTCATTTAGTGCGCATTATAGTCGCAAATTTATGGTATATGTATCAACAATGTTTGAATTACAATCGACCTGCCGTGACCTACCTCGTACATGTTTTCAGTGGCCAGAACAAACCACATCTATACTCTACTCTTCTCACTTGGTTACACAGAGTAACCAAACTAATCTTACACTTCTCAATATTACACGTTACCGTCTTTTCTTCTAAACTTTTACCACTGTAATAACAAGATTGGTGAGGAATGGTTGAGATCTATTTGACTGGATGGATGATGAACAAGAACAGGTTACCTTTGTAGAAGATGTGTGCAGTTGTCTCCTATACTATCATGATCGATTATCTGTGATGGGGTGGGATGGATTTTGAGCTACAGTACTATATAGTGGTCTTCTGGTTCCAGAATGGGATATGCCAAGAATGCATGGTCGAAGGTAAGAAAGAACGTAAAAGAATAAGTATATTCTGCAGATCGCTAGAAATTGTACATTCAAAGGAACTTACCCACAGCTTGTAGGATAGTCGCAAGTCCGCCGCACCTTCTTTCTCCCACACCCACCACACTGTCGCGAGCATTGCGTCAAGTCCGTCCAATCCGACCATCCGACATTTACGTCGTTGCTGATATTGGTCTCGGAATAGTTCACTACCACATGGTTAGACACTTTAACTCTTTGTGTCGTGGTTGTTGGTGGTGCTGCAATCCGCCTCTGCGATGCTGAAATGAAGTAGATCTTTTGATTAACTCGACACAGACCACGATTAAAGATTCAAGGTTTATAGCTTTATATTTCATCTAGTGAATTACATTTTGAATACGGAATTGCAGGCTGTATCTCCAAACTTCATGAGAACCGAACCTCGGATTCGGATTCTGAAAGGTACTACGGATGGCTGTTACTCACCAATACACTTGCCATCTACCAACTTCCTGTTTCCACAGCAATATTTTTCTTCTTCATCACACGTCGACTTTCTTCTCATCGTTTTGTTTCTGAAAAATACATGGAAAATTAAAGTTTAAAAGAAGAAACTAAACCCTTTCAGTCCCGGAATCTTTCAAATCCGATGCCAGGATCCTTTACAATTCTGAGACAAAGCATTCGAGATAGGGATAGAGGACAGGGGCGTGAGTATTCAAACTGACTTACACATATCCACCACAATCAGCCCCAGGGGGTATGAAAAAAACAGGGCACTCTTCCTTCACTCTCACTTGCCACTCCTGTATGCATGACCTAGTGACATGTCTGACACACGCCTTCTGTTCTAACGGTTCATCGGTCGTACAGCCTCCACATGATTCTGAAACAATACCAATAATCAAGATTCACAAACCATAGATTTCCGACTATAATGCGCACTATACGACATCAAGACATATACCATATACTTGCAACTACAATGCGCACTATACGATCTATAAGAGTACCTGCACAAATGTCTTAGATCTTAGTTGTCTTACCGGATGAAACGGAAGCCTGGAACCCACCATAACCACCGGAAGTAGATCGAAATATGACTAGCATCTCATTGCCCTCTGAGACAATAATCTTGTTGGGAGGTACGGTACAGCAAAACCTAAAAGAAACCATAACATTCACAAATAAACCATTGAACATGTCTTATAACATCAACAATGAAACGAAAGAATAACTTTGCATTATTGATGGTACAGAGCAATATTTTAAATTGTGGTCCGACAGAGATCACAAGACAGGATCTTATTCTCTTTCACGGTTGTGTTTGCTAAAGTTCACCCATTCCACTACATGTTTGTCTGGTTCTATTTCAGGAACTTACCGTGCACCAGTTCCACCAAAACTAGTATGGTATTTGACTTCCAGGAAATCTTCAGTACATGGTATTCGTGTCGAGTTGGAACAGTTGGGTGTGAACATAAAATTCTTACTGGAAACATTCAGGTAGACTGATTTGCCTTTTTTAGCCTGAAACAAAAAACCCCAAAAAGGCTAATTTTCTTTTAAAATCATATTCTAATCAGTGAAAAGTCAGTGCCAATTTTTGCTCAAACCCCCTTTCCAGATTACCACTTGCTGTAGCTTGCTATCGTTACGGACATCCAGTAACTAGCCCCCTTACCTTGATCAACCAATAGCAGCGTTGTCCAGGACGAAAGTTATAAGGAAATCCAGGTGTTGTTATTTTATACGTTTCTGTACCTTCAATCTGTAATGTCCCTCCACATGGCTCTGAAAGTACAAGATTCAATTCCTATACTATTCTGATTATAAGGAAGCCTTCGATATACGCTAGTTAATCCACAAGTTTAATATAAGGCTGCAGCCAGCTGGTTTATCACCAAGATGAGTATCGGAGGCCAAGGAAAGGTTTAAGGATAATTTAAGGATGTCACAAAAGAGATATTACCTCCGAGAGCAGGAGCCACGGTCTCGCACTGGGCTCCACGCAGACCTTCCGGACACCTACATCTGTTACAGTTGAGAGGATCTGTGTATCCATCATGTCGACAGTTGTTTTCTGTTAGTGCTTGTGGACATTTCTCTGGAAGTAAGAACAATATCAATGTTAAGCAATATGGTGGAGTTCGAATCCCCTCTAGTTCGTCATTCGTTCATTTGTACTAGGCTGGGATTTCCCGACTAGGCTACCAGTCTACTGATGACTTGATTCGGTCAGAAAATTCGGAAGATGGTCAGGCAATGCCCAAACCCTCTTTTTGTTTTTTGAAAAGTTCACGTATGTTGATAAGAAAACACTTACTGTTACAGTAGGCCAGGTTGGCTAGTTTGGTATCAAAGAACGATAACTCCACCCTCTGACCTAGCACTCTCTGGAGTAAAGGATCTATTGTTTTAATCGTCATCACCTGATCATTGTACGAATATTCCTTAAAAAGATTCAAAAAAAAAAGATTGAAGGGAAATATTTTGCTCTTGTTAAAAGTTTTATATTTACATTCAACAGTCTACACCGGAATGATACTACGCAGGTGACCATCAAGGGATCCATTTCAGATCACCAATCAAACTTTGCGCACTCTGGAATATCTCAAAATGTGGTCTTAAAAACTTCTTAAGTACTTACAGTTGATTTGTAATGCATGATGGATCCACTATCATAAGGTATACCCAGATTAATGACGTCACGCCAGGATTCTTCCACAAAGTTATAATCCTTGCCATATTTGACATTTTCATACAGCACAGTCACGTGATCGTCTCTGTCTGGTCGAGATTGCTCGTGCCAGAATCCAATGGCGTGACCTATTTCGTGAATGATGGTTCCAACCTGGAATTTGAATTGGAAAACCGCCATTAATACACCATTATTCAAAATTGTCCAAGAGACCTATCAGGTATTTCTGTGGCATTTGTTGGTAGTCCTACCCCGGAAGGTCTGAATCCACCATTATTCAATGCTATCCAAGAGACCTCTTAGATACCCCTTGTGGGAACCAAGGTCCTAGGACGGGGTCACCTATGGTCTGCAGGACCATTATCCTTAAAGAAAAAAACTTACATTGAAACAGCCAGCACCAATTGAGACTTCTTGTTCTCTAAAAGCCTTCTCCTTTCCTACGTAGGACCAACATCCAATGTCTTTTTTAAACAATATGACTGGCTTCATGGCTGTATAGTTAGCATCTACTTCTTCAAATGTGATACACGTCCTGCCTTCCCAGTGTCTGATCGCCTTCCGGATATGGCTCTTCTCTACCTCATCTGTAACAGAATAGATTTTCACCTAAAAGGCTCTGATATCTGGTCCAATGTATATGGAATTATTGGAACCTCACGTCGGATGAGATGACATCGGTGGGCCTCACACCTTCTGGGGTTTAGTGGGCTTCGCACCATCTTGACATCTGTGGACCTTGCCATCTCGACGTCTGCTGACTACCCCCCCCCCCCCCCTTTTTTTCGACACCGCGATCTTCGTCGTGTTTAGCTAAGATGTGCATCTTACCATGAATTGCTTTCCCTTTCGTATCGAATCTGTAAGGAATGGGGAAATCCCACATTTTATAATCCTTAGAAGTCATCTTTCGTTTCTGTCGTTCAGAATTTTCTTCCACCTTTTCTACTGCCTCTGATGGTCGCAGCATGATGTCACCTTCAAATAGGAGGTTGGTTGTTTTGGATACAGGTCTGTTTTTCTGGAAGAGACAGAAACAGTGTCAAAAATGAGAGCAATATGAGATGAGGGGGGGGGGGGGGGGGGTGGTGGTGGTTGAGGTCAGTGACCAATTTATTCTTAAAGTTACTAAAAGACCCTCTCCTACCCCCTTACCCTATTTGAGACCAGGAATATAGGATTATTGTGTTGATTGAGTGGAATGAGAAACGACAGTCAGTCGAGTCAATATTGGTGATTCCTGACACCAACAATACGTCTCCAGCACCCAGTGTGATCTTGCATTGATCCACCATGTACAGTTATATAGAAATCAATTCGGACATGGGTCAGCATAGGTCGTGTGTAGATCAAAATGTAGATATAGATGTCTTGTTTAAGATATTCTTCCCGTGTGTCTTCACAGCAAGTCATCAATAATTCCAATGGTTTCTTCAATGGTAACGTAGTCAACAAAGGTCGTAGGTCAAACAGGTTAAAGTGGGGCCCCTGATGAAAGTAGTATTAAGGGGGAAGCACTGGCCGATATCACAAAGAGTAGTACTAAACTTACTTGTATTGGTTTGTGTTTTTGACGAGCTATACGAGTTTCTAATAGTTGTAATGTCGACCATACAACTTTTCTTTCTTCTACTGTCTGGTCATCGTGGATATCATCTGGACCAACCTGGAATTATTCACAATTTGTTGTCAGATTGGACTATAATAAGACAACCCCCTCACATTTTGCTATGATTATTTCATAATACGGTTAGTTTTAGTGGAATTGCAAGAACCACTGAATGAAATTGGAATAAAATCATTTTAAATCCTTAAAATTCACGATTGGTCCAAGGCTCTACCTTGAAATCTTAGGTTATATCTAAAAATATATATTAATACTAAGTGATACATTGTTTATTTAAACAAATCAGATAAAAACCAGGTATCTCTTATGATGTAATGAAACAAATTGCCCATATTTACTTTTTTCAGAGTTATCTTTCTTTGATGTATACCGCCACGCCCAAACCTTATCCCACCTCATTCTCTATACTTATGGAAATACTATTTGAATGTGGTTCGCTTTTGTACTGTTGGATTCGTTCACCCAATCTGTTACTTTTGGTTAGTCTGATATAGAAATGTTTCTAGTTTGTATACGTATTCCTTTAATAGGGCGTGAATTTTTGAAAAATTTTTGAAAAAGAAATGAAAGACGTCAATGTATTAATTGAAAAAGATGATGTTTGAATATTGTTTAAGGCGAGACGAGATTCCTATCAATATTTCAATATACAATTCATAAAAATACCATAAAACGAGGCCTGCAGGCATCTCCAGTGATACAAGACATGGTGTAACATAATGTCAGTATGTTACAGGGTTTGCTTACTGCTTACTAACACCAGTCCTCTTCCCTGGTTCTTGTTTTTAACATTGTTGGTACCGGTAATGGTATATCATTCAAGACAGAGTCGTTATTCTGACAGTCCCAATCAAATGATAATTTTGCGCACGGCCCCAATTGTTGTAAATGTAATAACAGTAAACAATGTAATAATAAGTGTAACAAATTTGCTCACTGTCCCAATGTAATAATAGGTGTAACTAATTTGCTCACTGCCCCAATGTAATAATAGGTGTAACTAATTTGCTCACTGTCCCAATGTAACAAATTAAGTAACATTCCATTATTTTTGTAAATGAAATAGATTTGGACAAAGCCCCTATTTTTTCAACCTTTTTGTGGTTAATGAAACAATGTTAATAATTTTGGCCACAGTCCGTATCGTGGTAAAGGGTAACTTTTACTGTCCCCACCCCCCTAGCGTCTGTTTCACCTGGGCCCTGATGTAAATGAATTTCCGCTCTCAACTGGCTTAAGGCGAGTGACAGATCGTAAAGGAGATAATATTAACAATTCATTCAAATATTTTTCAGGTACAATACAAATATCTTTTTTATTTCAATAAATAATTATTCACTTCAGTGATTTTTAACTGTGATTTCTCTTTCAATTGTTAGAAAAAATCATATTAAATTATGAAATTTGATTGTGTACAAATACAGGGCATTGTTGTGATCATTTTGACGGTAATTTTTACGGATTTACGGAAATTTTCTTTAGAAATTACTCCAAATTAAGCCAGTGGATTTATGTTCTAATTATAAAAGTAAAAGCAAAATCCAACAATATACAATGTACGTGTATTACCAGTGAACAATTATACTAATTGTTTCTATTTAGATGGCAACTCAAAAGAGCGCAAAATTATATATAAATATATAGAGGAATATTTTGGAATAGAATTTCTTTTCAAATCGACGAAATGTTTATGTAAAATTTGAAAAGTGAGTATTATCGTCGTCTGCTTTCATCGGAATTGAGTATCTTACAATTCTGAAACTCTAATCAAAATCGGAAGGAAAATAATCTCTTAAACATTTATTTTTCGGGTGGTTTAACTAAATATTTTAGTATCTCTTTTTTGAAACTAGGGGTATGTTGAAAATCTATTAATTAATTTACTTACCATAATTTCTGAATCGTCGGAAAGTAATTCATCGGAGAGTAACTTGTCCGAATTGGAATTATCCGACAGAGAATTGTCCACGAGTAATTTGACTGGTGAAGAATATATTAAATCCAATCGGAATATTAGTAATGACACCACTAGCATCCAAACACACCGTTTATCCATTTTGGCGATTTTTTCTGTCCTTTTTTGTCGAATAACGAGAGTGTTCTGGGTTTGTTTATTTGTTTTGAGATTAATTTGTTTATTTTAGGTTCTTATCACACATTGTGTATTCTATCTTATTTAAGGTCTGATCTCCGATTAAAATTTCCATTCTTTCATTTCAATTTTACAACAAAGTACTAATTTTATTACTGTAGTTACTCCGATAATTTTTATCGAAAAATTAATCGAATGAATTAATATCCACGCAATATTTCTGACTGAGAATAACAATTTTCAAAATAAATTATAAAAGTTAATTTAATTTAATTCGCCACTCTCCAATTTCAACTTGCTTTCAATGCTTTTAATATCCAGTGATATCTTAATCCACGGTTGATAATGCACCTGCATATGCACGTACGAAATGATCCTATTTGAATATCCGAAATTTGAAAACAACTTGATTAAAACGTGGAATTAAACGATGTATGGAAAATGACAATTAATTTCAACTTTCTATTACTTTCTCTATAAATATTAAACTGATAACGACCAATGGACCAATCAGAAGACAGGAATTTTATCAGTAAATTTTCTATTTGGGATGTATGTGCCTTGGGGTCAGTCAAATCAATCGAAATACACTGAAATATTGCCAGCAAATTTCAGAAATAGCCTTTAATGAAACCCAATTGAGTTTAGACGAAGGACAGAATAAATAGTCCTAGCGGAACATTATTGCCTATCTGACTCTCAGGATGTTAAGTTGAAAAACCCAATCTCACAGTGGCATCTGGCGATCCAGAATTCGCTCAAACATCTTCTTCGACAGTCTAAGTATTCCAACAAATACACAATTGGATATTCGCCATAAAGTTATAACGGAGAATTAATATAACTCTATGGTAAACGCATATCAACTTTATTCGCCTCGAAACAGTCATCTTAAAAGTCAATAAAAAGCCGAGATTATTTTCGTTCTTAAAGCGGCTATGATTTCAGATTGACCTGGAAATATCGAAAACCTCTTGAGGGTAAATAAGAAAAGGATTGGATAAGTTGACTCAATGAAAGAGAAATTCCTTCTTCCAACCGACATTCTAGACAGGCGGATCATCGTAGCATATTCTCATAGCTTATTCATTCTGATCAATTTTTATATTATATAATAGGCTTACCACTGGCGGTGTATTATCGAAAAAATCTTTTAGGATGTTCTGGTGTCTTCACTTCTAACAATGCATCTAGGATATCCTAGCGCTGGGATCGTTTCGAGAATACGTGGCCAGTATCCCGGAAACTACGGGTTAGATAAAATATTTATCGTCGGCATTCAAGAACCGACGAAATTCAGTGGCTTAAGCCAGGGGTCCCTGTTTATTCAGACTAATTCTTGGTTTGGGGGGTTCCACCTTAGTTTAGGGAGGCAGACGCTTAGACCTACATGCTGTGATTCAAATTAATGGAATTACTAAAATTAATTTTTGTGGTTTTCATAATATTTTAATGTATCGGAATGTTAATGATATGCAAATTTATGCAAATATTTAACAGGATATTGTTTGGGTGCATTGTTTTAGCATCTTAGTAATGCATTACGTCATATTTGTGGGTGAGATTTTTGGGCGATGTCAAAACGGAAACGATAACAATTTCCAAATACGTAATTAATTGATCACGTGATAATTATTAAAGGGCTGATTACACTAAAAATTTTATTGAAGGTTTATCATATATTTATCTTTCCTGCTGTCGAAAAATATATGTGGAAAAGAATTAAAAAGGAACATTCCACAAGGCCGAAGATAGTTATTTCATTTAGTGCGTGGGGAAAGGGGTTTTGGATGGGAAGGCAGAGTTTGGTGGGGTAGTAGTTTAAATAAAACGTATAGGGCCTAATAAAACCATGAAAAACTAGTAATGTCATATGCAAATTTATGCAAATTTATGCCATTATTTCATTTTCCATTGTTCAATTCGTTTTATTCATTTTATTTTTAAATATATTTCATTTTAATTATTATGTTACAAAATAATGCTTAAAGGAGGAAATCGAAAAATAATGGGCCTCGTATGGGGAAAGCAAAGAAAATATTAAATCTAATACATCGAATATATGCTAATAAGGAAATACGCGCAAATATTACACCCTTTCGGTTTGTATCTTAAACATAAGCCAATCAATGCGAGGATTGAGAAAATATTTTGATAAAAATTACAAAGTCTTGTGAAATGTAAAATGAATTGAATTATAATTTCGTCTGCCCATATTTTTCTCAATGAAAAAAAAAATGAATTAAAAATAAATTGTCTAATAAATCGGTTTGTCGCCGATCAGTCGGAAATCAGGGGCTGTTTAACGGTACGCCTATAGTTGATTGAAGCGATAATTTGTTCAATATTCGACCACGCCTCCTCACGTATAGACCTGAATTTGACTTGTCTGTCATTTTTTATATCTGTGGTTTTCAATTGTTAGAGTTGTCTCATTTTAATGTCCATGGCTTAAAGGACATTATTTCAATTTTTAGGCATATTGTTTGATGTTTCAATAGATCTAAAGCTACCAATGAAACGTAGACCCTACCCAGACTTAAATGATACCTGTAGGCCTAGATCACCTTCTAATTTTAGTTGTTTTTCATGAAGAGTAAGCATACAATGTTAACCGGGGCTCTCCTGCATTTTTTTCTGGGAGTGGGGACACGTGGAATTGGTTCAACCAGTCCCTACGGTAGTTGGGCTACTGGTTGGTGTTAAGCATAATATTAAGATTCATTTTTAGAACCACAAAGCAGGTCATTGTAATCCCGCAAAATAATATATCTGGTGGCCAAACTTGTAGTCTAACGCCAAAGCGGAGAAATTGTTTGTTGTCTGAGTCCAGTCATCTCGCAGATGAAACTTCCGGTGCGTGACTTGCCTAAAAAAAAAATAAAACGTACAAATATTAAAATAGGACACAATATCATGTTGTGTAATTAACAACCAAATAAAAAATCGATAATGTTGATTTGAGACTACAATTTGTAACACTATTTTTTAGTGCAAAAAAGTGAAGAAGTAATGAAAGCAAAAGATGATACGTCATCAAAAGTGGGACAAATGACAACATTTATGACGTTTTACACATACGAGAACCTGCCAACTCGATAAGCTGCTGAAAATTTGTCATACAATTGGAATAGAATACTATGTCTAAAGACGGAAAAGAAGAAAATCTGCTCGAAAGCAGTCGAAGCAGTGGTACGTAACATAGTTTCATAGTTGGAATGGATATTTCAGGCGTAATGGCTAAGGGAAAAGGTTTTTATGTCAAAATTCGTCTGCCAGTCTGTGTGTGTCAAATTCAATTTGTTTTCAGAGTGTAGCAGCTGCTGCCAAATGAAAGAAACAGTCAGACATTAACTGGTGCATGCTTCTATTGTTTTATATTTTATAAATAATTTTGACCAGTGATTGTCTTGATTGAGAGAGGCAAGTTTATCACAACATCAATTAAAATTGACCCTCAGTACTGCAGTAGACAGTAAAGTCGTAAAGTAGAAACGCCTCAATTCAAACACAATTCTTTTAATCAGGCAATTATTATAGACTAAAACATGAAGACAAACATCCAACTGTCATTTTGTAGTCACTTTTTATTATTTAATAGATCAGAAGGTAGGTCAGAGTTGAGGCCACCATCATGAACAAATTCTGTATAAGTATCTCTGATAGATTATCACATGTTTACACCTTAATATCAGTTTAAAATTTTCCTTCAAATTAGGCATAAATAAACCAAGTACTAACAATCCAAACTGCAAAAGGAAATCCAAAATCCATAACAACAGCGTATCATCGGACAAACTACATTTGAAATAACCAAAAGAATAAAATAATACAATAATAAAATAACAAGACTCAATATTATGTTTCATAACTCACTTTTTCAATGGCAATATGTCACAAATTAACAGGAATAGTGTTTTTAACACAACAATTAGGCTACTGATTTAAAGCAGCATTGAAATATTTAGGGCATCTTAGAAATCCCGGAATCACAAACCTCTGTTGGACATCGAGTATCAGGTTAACCATCATATGTTCTTAGATTTGGGTCAAAATGAAAAATGTGTATAAAAAATTGAAAAATGCCCATTGTCATGCATCAATTCAAATTTTAATTGCATTATTGATTTGGCTAGTTGTTTAATTTCATTTCCATGAACTGCTGTCAGTCAATTAGTCAGAACTGTCAGTCACGTAGCTTATGCCGGTCAGGGTAGTAGAGTTTAGTCAGACAGGGTACTGTTCCATCAAAATGTTCTCTGAGATTTATCAGGGTTATGAAAGCATTGAGAATTCTTACATCGTTTTAGGTAAATATTTCTTGTTTCATTTTTGAGGATGGGTTGTGGGGTTGTATGTTACATACCGATAATTACAGGAAATTTGCTTGGTTACGTCAAATTGCTGGTGGTCAGGGGTTCTAATTTCAGTCATTGTTTGAACGTCTGGTTATCTTGAATAAGTCATCTTTTCGTATGATTCCAATCGACCCAGCTGTAAGTGGACACGGATAATCTGGAAAAGATCAATGCTAAAAGGTTTAGCAAATGACTAGCTGGTAGTCAGGTTCCTCGTGAACCTAAGTTGGGTTTAACATACAATGATCTTGGCTCTCTATTGGCAAACTGTAGTAACTTATAAATTCTGAAGTAATGTCTCTAAATAATAGATTATATAAGATGACAAATATAAATCTTGCTATTTATTGGTTTGACCAGAGGGCATACTAACTAACCTATTGAACTACCTCTCCTATCATTGGACAAACTCATACCAGTTTGATTTCGCTGCACATTGATTGGATAAACAGTCTTTTTTATTTTCTAATCACCAATCAAATGTCAGTTAGTAAAAACATTAATTTAAAAATAGATTATAGGCTTGTCATTGAGATTGATTGATAGGTAATGACTTTAATTCTGGTAGTTTTTGGTTTGCTGAGCAAGTGATTTGATTGGATAATGAATTAAGGCTTGACCAATCATGTGTGGTAGATGATATTCTGGGCTTCTAGATGTCTTTATGTGGTATTAGGTGTAGATGTGGCAATCAATGGATATGTTTGTCACAGTTATTATGTTGTGTTGTTTACTAATATAGCACCTTTACACTAATGAGCTGGTCACTGAAGCAGGTGCCCTTTCTTTATCACTGGGTATATTAACTAGTTCTTCAGACTCCTCGGCCAGTCAAACTCTGAACATTTTCAGTGGATACAAGACATAAGTGTAAAAGATTTCAAATATCCAGAGTGTTTCGTTTCTGCGCAGGATTTTGTTTACGTTACTGTTATAGAGACTGTGATTTTTTGTTAGTTGCTGGACATTTAAACCTGTATTGTATGTCGTTCGATGATGTATTTGTAAATATGATATATACTCAAATAACATGGGATATATTCTGAGTATGATTATGTGAACATTAGTTTCATTTGTCTTTATACCTAGTTCTCAATTGTTGTAAATTTCGCAAGCTGGAATTGGAAGTTGGACTTGGTACAATAGTCTTACATAATATTTAAATAGTTGGATTGTGTTGGTTTTAAATAAGCTCCCATGGTGAACCAAGGTGTTATAGTGTAAATATTGAGTTGTTATCATTAAAAGGATATGATATGAAGGATTATAAATAGGAGGGGTGAAATATCAGTTGATATTGGACTGATATCTTATTGAATATCACTTATCAATAGATGAAATATAGTTATTTATAGTCTGAATACAGTCTTATTGTGTCAGTATAATTTTCAGTACATGTAGTTTTTTCTTTCTACAAAATGGAATAAAGGAAACTATTATTAGATCTGTAGTGATTCTGTACTTTCTCATCAGATTCTGTCATATTCGTTCAAGTGGATTTCTCTGTCATGCTTTTTTTAAAATAATTGAAATTGGATTTTTGTTAAATTGTAAGAATCTTAGAATAGTGGTCTACTAGAACTGGAATAAAAGTTTGTAGTGGTATATCACAGACATCAGAATATTGAGTGGTATTATCACATTATCTTCAACTGTACCTCTATATGTACATGTATATATAGTTAACTTTGTTTCAATGATACAAGTCTCTTGACGAGGGCTAAAAATTTACAAAAATGAAGGACATAGAAAAAGATGCAACACTCCCAAAAAATATCAGACGTCAAATATCAAACGGGAATTCAGCGTCGTTAAAAACAGATGATAATGAAAATATTGAAAGAGAAGAAGAGGATTATAAAAATATGATTAGTTCCCTTGGCGACTATTCCAATTATCTCAGTATTACCCATGATGCAACGCTCTCAGATGACGAGGAATTCAAATCTAATGAGTTTGAAGGTACCATGTTTTAATATGCCTGGATATTATTATATTATCAGTTTATCATTCAGACTGTTTGAGTTAATTGCTGAAATCAGATTTACGAAAGGGTTTCACGCTCAGTCTGAATATCGAACAGCTTCAAACTCTAAGTAACAATATGTATCAGGTTCTGTTGTAAGGTTTCTAAGAGTTATATTAGTAAGAGCTTGAATTTTGTCTGACGTTACTTGTCATGATTTCTGTTAATATACTTTCAGATGAACACTCGTTTGATAACCTGAGTTCCCCCACCACGTTTGAGAAAGGAAGTATGGGGAGTGTTCACAGTGCTAGTAGTGGGATAGATGAAGACACGCCCGTCTACCAGGATCCTGTTGAGAAGGAGAAAATGATGTTAGAATTAAAGGAGGAACTTATTAAGGTAAATACAACCATGTTCTTTCTTCTGTTCAGTGATTTTTCTTACTTATCTGTATTTATTAAGGTAACTTCGTCCATATTTTCGAACCTCTTATCCATCGTTGTTTGATTTCTTACTCCTGATGATCCACGAGATCATGTACTTTGCTCATATGTAAAGGAAAATTAACCACCATGTCATTGTTGTATCAGAAACATATGAGTCGACAACATGAGATTAGCTCTAGTAATTTGAGTGTCCTTATCCCTTATTAGAGTAATAAATTGTTAATCTTTAAGTTATTTAAATTCTTTTAACTATTTTGTACCTGATATTTAGGTTGAGGGTGAGATAGCTACATTGAGACAAGTTTTAGGCACCAAAGTTCGCTACTCAACAGAATTAAAGAGAAAGATGGGAATCACGCCATTCCAAGAATTCAAGGCTGACATGGCGTCTGGTATTGAACAGATTCGAGGTTCAGATTCGTAAGTAAAATCAGGTTATTTTAGGTGTGGACTCTCGGAAGCATTGGCCCTGTACTCAGAACTATTATATTTTTGGGTGGATTGCAATATACGGAAACTAGCATCACTGGCTCAGAATTTTTAAACATTGAGGAGAATGGAACCAATGGCAACTTATGGTCTCAGTGTCAAGTTACAGTTATTTTCATGTAATATGTATTATTATGTTGCCTGTTCAGGGTTTGTGTGGGTTTTCTATTAACGTGTGGTTTCATCATTTCAAATCATGCTATCATTGGGTCTTGCTTTTGTGTACTGTAAATCTTAATGGGTTATATTGTGGATATATATTTCATCTTATTGTTCTAACAGCAATTTCACAGCTTCAGCACAAATATAATCAGCTATTTAGTTTCAAGATTAGAAAAATAACACGATATTTTCACTGTTAACATAGTGTTCACTTCATCAATTTCATAGATTAAGCACAATACTATCAAATATTTAGTTTCTATCAAATAGTTTAGTCTGCGATAACAGTGAACTGGAAGCAGACATTAACTTGTCATCTAACAACTAGCCTTGTTTTTAGACTATGTAGGTCTAAGCTAGTCTGCGATATCAGTTAACTGGAAGTAGACGTTAACTTGTCATCCACCGAACACTGTAGTTTATAGATAATGTAGTTCTAGGTCCTACCATTTTGTTTCAGTTATCAAAAGACAAATGAAAAATTGCATCAGATTAACGATAAGATTTCTAGTTCTCCTGTGTAAGTTTCTACTTTGTTTTTTTGTTTGTTTCGTTTCATTTTTACTTTATCATCATTCTTCATTGATATACCCCCATCATCGTTTATACCACAACCTTTATCAATAAAAAGATGGGACTGTGGTCCACTTTATCCAAATAGTTTCGTTAGAGGCAGTGAATTTTATTTAATCAAAACAATCTTAGCTGTATATAGTTTGCTTTTATGGTACCACATTCCTTACTCTTCTATCACCCGCTTGCTTTTTAGTTCTCCCTTGTTTTCACTTTAGTTGATGCCTATACATGTATTAGCTTGTGTTTTCTAGTATGATTGCTTTCTATAATATTTCAACTTCTCGTGTGTCTTAATTTCCTTAAACTCTACACCCAATATATCACTGTTTTAAATATATATATTTTGAGTTACAATACGACCTGACTTTGTAATACTGTCAAGTTATCAAGCATGGTTCACATGGCTCTATCTGTGGTTTAACCAAGATAATTTCTGTATGTTTCAGTTATCAGAAGACATCCGGAATGATGAAAACAGCCACGGAGAAAACAAGCTCAGCATTTTCTGCCGTCGGAGGTGTCGTGTCGAAAAAATTAGGAGACATCAAGTAAGTATTAATTGTTGACTGAATGATATCTATGAGTCTTGGCAATAGTGATGCCTTAATATGCTTAGTTTTAGTGTAAGGTTTTATAAGAGAAACTCTCTTATAGAAGCAATGGCTTAGGTTACAAGTAGGGACTGTGGATTTCAGCATTGGAATACATCAATTTGATAGAATATTACCTACTTCTAGAGAGATTTAGTGAAATTGCAGGAACCAAAAACTTTTGAATTAAAATTGGAATGGTACAAATCAACGCTATCAGTACCTCTTTACCAGTTTCAAAAATGGAGCATACTTGACGAACAAGGAGTCAGTGAATGGAAACGTAGCTAATATATTAATGGTAAACACTTGTTTTTTAGGAATTCACCTACGTTCAAATCACTAGAAGAGAAAGTAGAACATACATACACTAACGTGAAGGTAAGTCAGTCATTTATTTCACATACTGTTGTGAAGATGTTGAGCTAATTTTTGATATTGTCCAAAAAATAATTTTGCACTTGTCAAATGACCTGAACTATTGATCTAACATAAGCTTTGAAGGATATTTAGAAGCAGAGAGCACGTATTAACATAAAACACAAGGAAATATATTATGGTGTAAACATTACAAACTTTGTTAATAAAGAAGTCAGTTATACCATAAAATATTCCTTTGTTTTTTGATTATTGATCTAACACAGCCATATATATATTGGTCAAAATACAGAAGGGTTGTTGATTGAAAGTATTGACCAGTCATGTCTGACAGTTTTCTTAAAAAAGAGATAAAAAATAATTGTAGTATAAGCTTATTCATGACAAATATTTGAAGTATTTGTTTGAATTGTGTGCTGGGCTATATTTATCAAAAATTCCCCAAGATTTCAATCATATTAAGACTATTTAAAGCTGTAGTCAGACATGACTGGTAAATACCATCAAATCAACAGTCCTGATTGGTAGCTAGAGGATAGTAGATCTTGTAGCATGATTAATCAAAGGGATTTGAGGAATATATTCATACCTATATACATAGCTTAATATCTGGGATTTATTCTCTAAAACTTAGAACTTTAAAACAAACCTTTAATGATGTGATCGTTAATAAAGATTGGCTGTTATTTCACCAATAGACATTCTATCATAATGTTAACAAAAGTTGTAAACTTACAGTTATTTCTTATCCTAAATCATTCGTTAAACTGAAGCAAGTTGACACAATTAATATATAGCTATCTTGGATCATTCAATAAGTAATGTTAATAGCATAGTTTCAGTCACTCCCCTCTCTTATAACCACGAATAAAACCTTGTTATAGCACAGTTAGGCTCCTCCCACTTGTTTATACAATGAAAGATAAAAGGAAATTACTGATATCGTGTTATAATAAGTTTTAGAGAATAATTGCCCAAGTTAAAATTTTTGAATGTGGTTTTCTCCGAGCATCGTTTATCATTCTAAGCATCTCTGATCATCTCTTACATTTCCCTCCCCTAGTCCTCCCGGTCCATAGAAAATCTCAAAGATAAATTGGTGAGTGGTGTCTCAGTAATAGTCCCTCTTCTCTCTTCTCTCTTCTCTCTCATTGTGGGCTGGGCGATATTGGTCTGAGATTCTTTAAAAACGTCAGTAGGCTACAATATCCTAATATAAACAACGTATATTTTACAAGAATAATTACATTCAGAATTTTAATAGACTTTTTATTTGCCATTGGTCAGAATCAGAACCAATACACCAGGATGATATGGTCCTGTCTAACAAAACATTCATGAAAATATTCCAAAGTGTTTTGGTTTTGCTGACAGCACGAATCTTGATATAACAGTTTATCGCTCAGCTCTCTTCACACAGTAGTAGTAGTAGTAGTAGTCTCCCCTGTCATCATTCATTTTACTGGTGTTTATACGTTAGATAGTCTCTCATTTTATTACTATTTAATATCTTCTTTGATATACCAAGGTATCTGTGATAAACCACAGAACTTGTGTGTTACAGGCCTATAGTCTGGAGCAGAAATAGGATGTGTTATCTTGTGTTTTGATTTTATTTTTACCCACTGTATTGCATGTTTGTTATTTCTACATCACATAATAATAAATTCTAACTATTAATCTCTGTGTTTATGTGTTAATGTATATTATAGATTTATATTCAAACATATTAATGTATTATTGAAAGGATAGCTTTATGGTGACGGCACACGAACGGTTTTTGTTGCTGATTTTTGTGTCTGAAAATTCGTGTCTGCAACAAAAACTGTCCGTGTGCTGGCACCATTAGGTTAATAGTAGCATGAATAACATATTAGAAATACTTAAAGGGATATGGTTGTCTATTTTAATAATTAGTATTATTAGAAGACGTAGTTATTAGCTATTTATTGGTGAAAGAAGGGAGAGAACTCACTTACTAATAAATAACCCTCACCTTTAATATTTGTAATCTTATTTAGGGTTTTATTCAGGCCAAGGTCACAGGAAGTAAATCTAATCAAGAATTGGGGGAGGAGCTACAAGAGGATGTGGGAGGAGAAGGAGATGCAACGCCCCTAACAACCAGCAAGTCAACCCCACTACCAGAAGAAAAAGTTCCACTCAATTAGAAGATTTCTACCCAGAAAGAAAAAATCCACACTTTTGTTTTGTTCTTTATTTCCTTTTGAGTTTCTTCTGTAATTTTGACAGGCATTCTATTCTGAAATATGTTCCATTGAGTTGTAGGAATTCAGAACTGTCTCAGAATGTGGCTGCCTTCATGCAGATTCAGAATTATTTCAGAAACATATTTCTGTTGAAAAGCGGTCCACAAGAAACAATATTACTTACTTTAGATTTACAATTTCTATCTTTTCTTTTCTTTGATATTGAACCTAAATATATCAATGAATTGAATTACATTACATGATACTTTGATAGGTTAAAATAATATCATTAGAACGCAACTGTGATCGAAGACTTGTTAGATTACAATGGAGATGAAGATATCAGAAAAAAAAGAACAGAAATTGTTATTAAATTTTAATTGCATTGCACATCAATTACTCCTAAAACTCTTGTTGTATGATCGCTGATTTGGACTTCAGAAAATATATCGTTACTATTCTCATTAGAATTCTTGGATCTCTCTGACCTAAGAGAATCTGATTGGTCAAATACACATGGTGCAACCAATCAAATTCCTAGATATTATCTCGTGAAGAGAAACTTGCGTTATGATGTATCGAGTGTTGCTTTTCTTGCTTTAGTGAAGTGTAAATATGCTTCTTCTAAGTTTTTTCACATAATCTTTGGACTTCCATCTTTCAAAATTAGTTTCTGTTCCTCACAGTATTTGTACACTGTCAATATTTGTGTATAGTTGTACAACAATGAAGAACATTAGTATATTATTTGTAAATTTTGGATGATGATAGGTATAAACAAGTACTAAGACCATCTGCAGTTAAAGAGATTGTCAAGATGTTTTCTAAATTTTGTATTTGTACCGAGGACAAATTCTACTATTCCAATTTTCAATCAGAAGTCTGTTGCTCTTGCAATTTCACTAAAAATAAGTATTTAATGTTGTCACTAATCGTAATAATGCTATCAGTGTAACTGGTAAACATAAACGATTTAGAAAATCTCTTTACAATCTCTTTAACAGTGAAAATTAAGAGCAGACGGTGCAATGATGTCTTCTCATTTTCTTTCATTAACAATCAAGTATATTTCTGTGTAAATTTTTGGGACGCCTTGGTATTGAGGAGATGATCATCTTGACAATGGTCAAGGTATTTTGAACTTTGACATCAACGAAGATCGTAACAGCTTGACATTGTGAAGATAGCAGATGATTGGCTGATATAAGTGTTCAATATATAAATGTTTTTCTTTGTAATTATTTGGTTAATCATTTATGTGGATTTTTTCATCATCAGATGTTTAAAGTCTAATATTTTATTTAATCACTTTGAAATTATTGTTATAGCTTTGAATGTTTTTAAGATATAACCTATCTCATTATCTGTACTCGTACAAATACTTTGGTTTTTCAATGACACTTCATTTGTTATTGTCTGAGAGCTTTTCATGAAATAGTCGCCAAGTTCTTGTAAGAGATCGGTCGTCATATTATGAGATATTGTCAAACAATAACTTTGAGGTTTGATAACTGCCTGTGTTGATATATAAGTGGCCTAGGTTTTGATGCAAGCTTGGAATTTGAAAAACTGTTTTGTATTGAACAAGTCTTGTCCAGAAGATAAGTAGACAAAACATTTTGTTTTCTACTGAACGAGTCTTGTTAAATCAAGGTAACTGAAGGAAAGACAGTGTATTTTAAAAACAGTTTTATAGAAGTGGATAACAACTAAAAGCAGGCTTGTCCTCATCTTCACAATGTCAAGTTATTACCAAAGACCTATATAGTAATAGCTTGACATTGTAAAGATGAGATTGTCTGTATCTGAAGTGATTAATATATCCAAGGGAAGAGGGGTTGAACTAGACTTACTGAGGGATTATATTTTAAGTATTATATATAACCAAGACTGGGTTTTTACTGCACTCAATAAGGATAAATATAATTTATTATGTATGATATTTGACTGTTAAAATACTAGAATAGTGCTCATTGTATTAATTACAGAGCGATATATTATATTAAAACAGAATCTCAAGTATGTTGTCACTAGAAACATGAAACTCTGAGTAACAAGTTCTGTTTTAATATTCCTTAAAATGCCTTAAAACCATAGCGATCACCAGTTACGTATGATTGTGAATTTTACTCACAACTCAGTTGCCGAGAGTTACATAACCTCTATTGTTACTCACAATCATACGCAGCTGGTAATTACTATAGTATTGTTGTGAATAATGAAAGTGGTCATGAAAACAACTCAACTCACAACCCAGTATGAGAGTTCTATTTGAGAGTGATGACAGGAGTTGTTTAAACATATTTTATTGTTTCAAACAACAGGATAAGGAGTTGTGTTCGAAACTAATGACTGCTATACGTGTTCACAACCCTACGCAGCTGGTGATCGCTATGGTGTGAGGGTACCTTTATTTGTTATATATAATCATATGAATGTGGGGTTTAATATTCTCTGACTGACTAGTACTCCTTTGTGAAATCAAGTTGGTAATATCTGGATTATTGCCTGTGGTTGTATTGTTGATTTAAATGATAGAAAATGTAAATATGGTTTAATCTCGGCATGCTTAAGAAGGGTATAGACATGGTCTGGTGTGTGATTATTGATATAGTAGAAAATAGTGGAAGAAAATCTTGTCTGCACTATGATCTCGTGTAATCACTTCTCTATTTTTCTTACTGTATCAATAATTCCACACAGTACTAGACACTGCACCAAGCCTATTCACAGCTTTATACATAGTTTCTTGTTATGTTTGTTCTGTGGTTTTTGTAGAGTAGAAAACGACGAAATTCACAGTCCGTATTGCTCAGTTCTCTGGTCCTAGTTTCATACGATTAAAATTTATTGATAGTTGAATTTTTGAGTAGGAAATGTTTGCATTTATGAAAGTATTGGTTTCAAAATTGTTTCCTTATTGTTAAAATTAATATCGGGGGCCTTGTCTTGGAAACTTAACTGAAATACAGATTGGAAAAAATACAATCATCAGACTGGATAATCAACGTGAAGTTTTAGTTTTCGGAATCAGGCCTCAGCTTGGCTTAACTCTCACAGAATGTTCGTTATATCGGAGTCATTGTATTTTATCTTTTTACCCTAGTACGTTTTGTTGGTTTATTAATTGTGCATTTTGAATCAGAGAAACAGTTAAGACTGTGGATAATTTTAGTCTGATCTTGTCGTAATGATATCATATAGATTAATCGCTAACAATTTAAACTAAGTGAACAGATTGAAATATATCAGACAAGTCAAATTAAAATAAGACCAAATTTTCGTTCAATTTTTTATTAGCTTTTAATTTTAATATACCTATTAGTTAAGGTCGAAACACATCTTGTTTGTTCGTGTCAATAACCTTTGACCTAACCTGATGACCTCTTCTAATAAAAAACGGAACAAAAATTTGGCTGATATAAGAATGTATGAGAATGTTTGCTAACATGTTATTGAACATGATATAATAACAGTATTTAATCTAAGGTGTTATTAACTTCATTATTACCATTATTTATGTGACATTCCAGAATTAGGACTCAAACTTGTATCTTGTAATATGTTAGATTTCTTTCTCAATTTTCCAACTCAAAATTTTTGATGTAGTGGATAGATTCTTTCTTAGTAGTTCAGTTTTGAGGCAAAATATGACGTGCTTATGTAAGTGATAGTCAGCAAAAAACTTCATTTGAATGAAGACGTAAGCAAGAGCAGTCTGCTGAGGTGCTTGATGTAGTTTAAATAGTAATTAATTCAGTCAGACTTCTCCAGTTTCAATTACTATTTATACTACCTACAAATAAAATAGACTGCTACTGTTTTGAATCGAGTCTGGCCGCGTATTCTTGAAACGATCTTAGCCACATGATGTCCAAGGGTCTTTACTAACGCTAACACTGTTTCTAGGATATCCTAGGGTCTTTACTAACACTAACACTGTTTCTAGGATATCCTAGGGTCTTTACTAACACTAACACTGTTTCTAGGATATCCTAGGGTCTTTACTAACGCTAACACTGTTTCTAGGATATCCTAGCGCTATGATCGTTTCAAGAATACGTGGCCTGGATATGCACAGATATCTTTGCTGCACTATTGTAGCTAACTATTTTAGAAAACTAGCTGTAAATCATTTGAACTGTGTGTGTGTGACCTGCTGTCGCATATCATTGCAGAACTTTTGAATGAAGTTAGAAATTAGGCATTTTTCAATTTTAAGGAATTTTTCAACGTTAAAAAAGTACACATTTTGCAATATTTATGTCCAATATCAAAATATATTTAAATATTGTAAACAATATAAATTAAAATATAAATAAAAAATACATTTTGTTGTTTCTTTTTTTGTGACTCTGCCCAGATTTTTCAGATGTCATTTCAGATGTGATAAGAGTCACTGGTTAGGTTATCAAAACATCTACAGTGAGATATCACATCTGAATTTGACCTTAAAGAACTTGGTAGGGTCAGAGTTGTTGGGCTAAGACCTCATTTACAAATGTGATATAGTCACTGTTTAGGTGAAAGCATAGGCTACTAATTAGTGATGATATCACGTCTGTTAATGATGTCTAAAGACCTAGGTAGGCTCAGAATTGTTGGTCTATGATTGGGTATGGATTCCCTGCAAAAATAGCAACGAGTTTTCCTCTTCAGGTGATGAAGTCGATGAAGGATTCTGATTTGTATGGTGGCATCTTGGGTTCAAAAAAGGTTGGCATGCCCTGCCTTACTTGAGACTGTATCATGCCTCAAAAATCCTGTCTGCCCCGCTGTAAATGAGTAAATAATCTGGTAAAGCTATGTCTGCATCACTTACAGTCACTCCTTAGGTACATTCATCAACACATTCCCTGGAAACTTTACTAACAGTTGAACTGTATACTGGTAAAGAACCTCATGTTTAGTCTTATATAGCCCATGCACTGAAATCTCTCACTGAAATAAAGGAGACATAC